CAACTCCTCCCCCAGTTTAAGGCCCAGCCCAAGTCCACCGTCTCCGAAGGGTCTTTGCCGACGGCTCCAGGCCCTGCTGATCACCTCTGTCTATCTTGCACTTACCCAACCGACGGTGACCAGGAGACAGGGCAGCTACCAGGCAGAGGACTCCTTGCCCTCTGGCAAGGAAGGCGCCCCCTAAGTAATTACATGATCAATTATTGCTGAGGTTAGCATGAGTCTCAGAAGGCAAAGTGCTCGCACACACAGAAAAGGCCACTGGGCACTGGGGGAAAGCCTGTTGGAGAAAGTCCCCTTTCTGATGAGGGAGGAAGGTGACTGGCAGTCGGGGACGAGGGGGGGCCACCAGGTAAAGGGAACAGGAATGCGGGTGACGTGTGGAAGGAACTGCTAGAGGCAAAGAACAAGAAGGGGTGGGTGCAAAAGGGCCACAGCAGGTGTGGGTCTTGGTCCAAGAGCAGTGGGACCCCTCAGAGGGGCTCTAAGCAGGATGGGTGACTGTGTTTCTAAACTGTCTTGCATGGTTCTCTTATTGCATGGGGCGGGGGACCAGCAGGAGGTCTTTGAGTTAAATGGAGCTCTTTCCCGGAGCTGGGGACCTCTTGGTAGCCTGCCAGGCACATAGGACTTCGAGTAGCATCTAGTGAGGACTCCACGAACCTCAGCAGCGTGGTTATTCATTACACACCCCCCGTGCTTCCCCAGTGGGTATCACAGGCCACTTCCCACTCCCGGCCTCACCAGATTCAGCGCGTGTGTCCCACTGCCCACTCGGCACCTCCAATGCCACACAGCCTCAAGTGAACTCCCGCCATTCCCCGGTCCACTGCGACCCTCTGCCTCCCATCTCAGAAAAAGGCCATTTCCAGCCGCTCACCCAGCCTCCCGTGGTCCGGCCGTTTCCCAGCCCTGCTGTGAACAGGTGCATGCAGAATGAACTCTGGACCACAGTGCCACGCGGACCAGGCATCCCCCCAAGCAAAGATGCTGTACCCCACTTTCTCCATGATTCCCAGCGAGGTTGGTGTTTCAATCAAGGGAAGAGCTGAAGGTCTGCCGTGTCAGCAACGGCCCCCTCTCAGTGCCCCTCTAAGTCCTAGGCCACTCGGCGAGCAGGAGCTCTGGGTGCGACTGAGCATTCTGTCTGCGGGCTTCTACTCCGGTCACCTAAATGCGCTTTTTGATAAGATACAAGGATTACTTTAATCGTCTTTAAACTCATCCCGCTGCACTATCACTCCGCGCTGTCCTATGGGAGCTATTTGCCGTTATCAGTGACAACATGATTTCGGTGGGACTTGGAAGACACACACGGAGGGAAAAGGGGTCCAGTGCTATCCAATGGGAATCCCATTCTGAGCAGTAGCCACATCGGCAACAATCCCGCGTCCCAGGAAACCTTCCTCCCTTAGGAAGGGACACTGAGGGTGCTGGGGGAAAGGAGATTCATTATCACAATCTGCCCCCACTTCTATTTTCTGCCCCCTGTAAGTAGGGTGGGTACTCCGTCCATTCAACACATATTTGAGCACCTATGACGCGCTGGGCACCGTCTAGACTCTGAGGACGCTGCAGTGGGCTGCGTCCCTGTTCTCCTGGAGGAGACGTGCTAGGGGACGGAAGAAACAGAGGGACGTGAGTCGCTTTTGCTGAGAAAGACTGTAGCAAGCAGGGCAGGGGAGAAGAGAGTCATAGTGCCTGCTGTTTCAGGTGGGCAGTTCCTGGAAGGGCTCCCCGAATGAGGGGACGTTGGAACAAAGACCTGAAGGAAACAAGGAAGCCACCCTCCGTCCAGGAAAGAGGGTTTCCTTAAGAGGAAAGAGGCAGGTGCAAAGTTCTGGAAGCAGTGGCGTGCTCGGTTAGCGTCATCAAGGAACGGCCAAGCAGCCGTGTGGCTGGAGCGCAGAGAACGGGCAGGGGGGAGGCCGGGGAGGGGGGGAGAATGTAGGGGTGGGCCAGGCATGCACGAGACCTTGGCTTTCACCCTGCACCAGACGGGAAGCCCTGGAGGGTTTAGACCAGGGCAGGGGCTGGCCTCATTTTTATTTTAACGGGCTCACTCTAAGGGGGGAGGGCAGAGGCAGGGAGACCAGTCAGGAGACTGATGCAGCAAGGGAGTCAAGGGGGCCCCCAAGGAGCCCCATGTTTCCTGGGGGTGGGGGGCAGAACGGTTGAGGAGGAGGGGAGTGAGACTACAAATAAAGGGGATGCCGATCTCCCGTAGGAAGGGTGTTCGGGGTGAATGACGAGGGGAGGGGGTGCGACGCCTGGGAGGCTGGATTTGTGAATTGTCTGGGCAGCAATGACAGGTGGGGTGAAATTTAGAGCAAAACAAAAAGGGGGAGGGAGCCCAACACCTTGGATTGCCAGTCTGCACAGCTGCAGTCCCTCCCTGGCGGGGGGAAACGTCATTCATAACCTTGCTGGTCACCTGTCACCTGCCAGCTGGGGCCCGAGGCTATGCGTTCCCACAGGTGCAGACAAGGCCAGGTGTGCGCCCTGATGGCTGTGTGCTTCACCCAGGGCCGGGGGTGGGGGGAGGGGAGGCGCGAGCGTGTTGGTGCAATAATGAAACGACGCTGTCATTCCGCTCAGCCCGCCTGGAGTCTGATTCTGCCACCCACGTCTCGGGGCGGGGGTGGGGGGGGTGTTGTGCACTTCAGCATCTGGGTTTGGTGCTGTGGGGGGGGGGACACTCAGGCTGACTTCTTTTTCTCCTAGGATGATGGTGAATATCATTAAAGCCGTAGCTCTTTTTAAAAATTCTCTTGCTCTGAGAGCTTTTCCCACACATAAGCACGGTGTGTTCGTTGCCACAAACGGGGACGGTGCTCCGGGAGGAGCCATTGGTCCCCAGCACACGCCCTTCAGGCAGCGTCCCCATCGGAGAACTTTAGGGTTAAGATCCCCCTTCGTAAGTGGCCTGCACGGGCCTGGAATGCTTTCGGTGGACCTGCTGAATGTTTCAGTTAGGAAGCTTCTCCTCTGACCCCTGACAGTCATCACGCACCCAGACCTCAGTACTGCTCTGTCCTGAGCTCTCTGGAGCTCTCCTTCCTCCGTGATCTCTCCGGGGCGTGTCTTCCAGGCCCAGGGACCCCACTCCCCGCCTCTTGACGCCGAGAGCCCCCATGCTCTTCTCTCCGGCCGCGACTTCTCCCACAGGGTCCAGACTCGCACCATAACTTGGTGTCTTCACTTGACTTCTGCACCCAGGCGTCTCAGACTCGACAATCCAAGACGGAAGTCCCTCCCACTCACTCCAAGCAGGGTCCCGACCTGTCATCCCCAGCCTCCCAAGTACTCAAGTCGGAAACCTAGGAAGTCATCCTTGAGTCTTCCCCTTCCCTCATCCCTCACATCCAGTCCGTCTGGAAACCCTTGAGCATCGACCTTTAGACCGTCTCTAGAACCCACCTCCTCTCTACCCCCAGGGACGCCCCCCTAGGCCAGCCCACCGCTTCTGACCTGCAACAGCTCCTAGGTCGTCCCGGGTGGTCTCCCTACTTCCGCTTCCCCCATCCCTGCCCCCATGCATTCCAGTCCCTTCTCCACCCGGGAGCGGAAGAGGCCGTGACATGTGATTGCATCACATCTCTCCTGCTTAGAACTGTCCGATGACTTGCCAGTATTCTAACGTCAAGTCCAAGCTCTCAGCCGTGGCCAGCTGGGCCCTTCACAACTGGTCCGTCTCTTCAAACCCAACTGGAGATATACTCCCCTTAGCTTGCCTCCAACGTACTGTATTAACTCCCTGTGGCTGCTGTAACAAATTGCCATATACCTGGTGGCTTAGAATGACACAGATTTATTCTCTTACAGTCCCAGAGGCCAGAAGTCCCAAAGGAGCTGGGACCAAAATGGCAGCCGGGCGAGACCCACCCTAGGGACACAAGTGTCCTGGCCTTTTCCAGCTCCCAAAGCTGCAGTTCCAGTCCCACAGGGTCCCTTCCTCCACCGTCCAAGCCAGCAGGGTAGCGCCTTGCACCAGCGGCCACACTGCCTCCTTCTTCTGGGTCAGCTCGTCCTTTGCCTCTCTCTTCTGAGGACGCCTGCAGCGGCATTTGGGGGTCTCTCCTCGTCACAAGATCCCTAATGTAATCACGTCTTTAAAGTCGCTTTCGCCATATAAGCAACATTCACAGGTCCCAGGGATTAGGATCTTGGGGGGGCCGTTATTCAACCTACCACACATACCAAGCGCTTTCCCACGACAGGGTCTCTGTACGGCTTGTTGCCTGTTTACCTGGTTCCTGCCGCTCCCTCCCCCCTCCCTCCTCCTCCTTCCCCCTCCCCTTCTCCCTCCTCCTCTCCCTCCCCCTCTCCCTCTCCCCTCACCATTACTGCCTTGAAGACAGGAACTATGTCTGTTTTGTTCACCCACCGACTGCACGTAACACATCCGGCTAACGTAACTGCAGTCCGGAATTAAGGGACATGCGTCTCCCACCCAAGATGCGCACAGAGGCTGCTGTGCTCAGTCATCGAGACAAAGCGGGCCTACCTCCGCCTTCCTCCTGGTCTCCTCCGTCAGAAACAATGACCCGGTCAGACCCTAACACCACCCACAGGCCAAACCCACAGACACACGCCCACGCAGGAGCCCGGGGAGACGCTGCAACATCTAATGAGCCAGGCAGGCACGGCATCTTTCAAAGGAGTGGATTTCGCTGGGGTGCGCGGCCACCTGAGCCCTTGCTCATTAAATGCAGCTACGAAACGTTTCCATGGGGCCTAGCCAGGAAGCTGCTGGCTGAGCAGAGCCGTTCCCAAACGTTCTCCATCCTTCTCCTGTTAACATACACCTGGGGCCACTGCGGGGCGGGGGGAAGGATGGGGCAGGGGTAAGGTCAGAGGCCCTCCGCAGGGGCCGTCCGGCACAGCTCAGAATATCGGGCTGGGTTAGATCGCCCAGGCCGAAGCAAAATCTGTTGTGACGGCAAGGCTATTTCTAATCATTGCTTTGCCTGAAGCAACACACTATCTAGTCAGAAACGTCATTTCCCCCCCTTCAAGTAGAAAAGGGCGCTTTAATATTTGACAAGTCGCAGGAACATTAAAAAACATTCGGTCACAGCGAAGACAGCTCAGGGGGACTCCGCAGTTTTCACCTCTGTGACGACTCACAGCAGAAAATTCCTGGCCATTTTTTAAATAAAAACGTAAACTTGGGAGAATAAAGCAGCGTGGCTGATAAATGCTCACCAGTTTTCACAAATAGCAGTGTCTAAAACAATAACGAGTGCACAGCCCCGGAGAGTTGCCAAGGCTACACAGGCGTCACTCTGAGAAGTCCAGAGACACACGTGCTGTCTAAGGACGGGCCTTTGAGTTCTGCCCCTGTAACCTCTGGATCCACAGCTTCATCTCCTACAGCGTTCTGGCCCAAATCGCCCGGAACTGCCTCTTGGGGGTGTATTTTGGAAGTCTGCTCTCAGAGTTCATGGCATCTGCCGGCGAGCTCGTGGGGCTGTGCGGACGCCTGGCGCAGGCCCCGTTTGCAAAGCTGCGTTTGCGCGGAGAGTCGATCCCAAAGGCTGGACTGGAGCGGAACCGGCTTAACCGGAAGTACGAGTGCACCTGGGTGACCAGCTGTCGTGCGGTCATCTTCTTCTTGCAAGTCTAGACTACCTTGAGGAGGACTCAGTGGCTGCCATGGGTCACCTCCCAATGACGTCCTAAGGACCAGAAAGGGGAGCAGGGCACCTGGTGGCCCCTCCCACGGTGGGGTGGAGAGGGGCAAGTGTGTCAAAGCCGAGAATACTGATAGTCGTTCCCAACCCGCAACCACAGCGGGAACGCCGTGTGCCGCCGGGTCCGCCGGGATGAGCCCTGGAACCAGATGCGGGGAGCAGCCGGGGGGCCGGCGCATGAGTGAAACGCAACAGAGATTTTCTTCCCGGATGCCCACCCTCACTGTGAGAGGCACGGAACGGGGCCTGTCACATGGATCCAGGTCCCCACGCCGGCCGACAGGCACTCAGCAACCTTCCCCGGCCCACCGACAGGTCCCATCAGCAGGGGGCTGGCCCCGTGACACAGGGCAGCTGCTCCTCTTCTGCGGCCCGGGGCCTGCATTGCGGGGACAGCTTGATGGCCAGAGTAGGCTTTGGAAACGTCCACGCTGAAGGACACTGATGGTCCTTCTCTGCCTGGACGAAGGGGACCTCCCGAGTGGACCCTGTGCAGGACGGGGCTCCGTCTGAACGGGCTGCCGGCAGGTGTAAGCAGCTTCTGGGGTCCAAACCCGGGGCTCACGCACAACCTGAGATGCACGTGGGCCCGGAGACGTCACAGCAGGAGTCTGGCGTCCCTCTGGCTGAGCTGCTCCATTTCCTCGGGAGAGAAAGTGTTTCCTCGGAGCCTGGAGGGGATAAAGCGAAGAGAGGGGTGGAGTGAAGACAGAACCACAGCAGTTGCTTTCCAACGGAGGCTCAGCTCTCTAAAGCCGGGGCCGGGATGGCCCACCGCTGCCCTGGGAGAGAAGCTGGCTGGTTTTGCCTGTGTCCCCAGGGCAGCTCCTGAATCACTGCGCACGACGACACGGGCTCGGTGCCTGTGCTCCGAGTCCACACTGGACCCAGCCAGCTGGCCACTCTTTTTACGGCAACAGCAGAATCAGCCCAGAATGGGAGGAGCGTGACCAGGCGCCCCTGCCCCCAGCACCACCCACGGGAAGCAAACAATATCGGAACCCTTAAAATACCCACCTGGTGTTGGCCTGCTCCACCCCCCCCCGCCCCCGCCCCCGGGCACAGACTGTGACATTCCTTAGGGCTGTGCAATGATTAAAAAAAAAAAAATAACCCACACTGTGCCCGGGACCCGAGGACCGCCCAGGGCACCGGGATTGCACAACCGCACAGGGGGCCATCTCTCCGGCACACAGCGCAGACTAGGGAAGTCTTTATTTTTAACTTTATCATCTGCTAGCTGCACTGGCTGCTGCCTTGCAGTGCGTTTCCAGGGAGGGGTGAGTCCGCCCATTGTCAGCGGGGCCACAAGCTCCTGCGATGAGGCAGTGATGTGGGGAAGCCGAGGCCAGGGCCCGGGCCCGGCCAGCAGGCCTCGTGGGTGTGGCTGGTTTGTCCGGCAGAGTGGGGTGGGTCCCTCCTCCGCTCGGCTTCCTCACCGGCAGTTGCAATGGGGGTCCAGAGTGCCGGCATTTTTTTTTTAAAGAAAACTCTGAAGTCTAGATTTTTTAAATGGGGGATCCTCTTAGTTTTAAAATATAGATGGGCGCCCACGTACAATGGTTCAGCATCATCTTCTGATTTCACGATGGTGCAAAAGCGAAATGCACTCAGTAGAAACCACACTTTGAATTTTGATCTTTTTCCCAGGCTAGCGATTGCGTTATGATGCCCTCTCGCCATGCAGGGCAGTGAGAAGATTTTGCCCAGCTGGGGTCTAACGTAGGTTTCCTGAGCACGCGTAAGGTGGGCCGGGCTAATCTGCGATGTTTGGTGGGTTAGGTGTTGTACTGGCTTCTAGCTCAGAGTCTGAAACGTATACAGTGTCATTCACGCGTACTGTGTTAACCAGGCGGAACCTTTCTGCTTACTATGTGAGCGACCGACAGTTACCTCCATGGAAAGAAAGACAAATCTCTGACATCATGACTCACTAGTTTTTTCGAATACATGACAGAAGACAGCTTTTAAGTATAAAGACTTGGGTACACTGTGCAACGGTGCCCACCCTGCGTAACGTCCACCCACAGCCGCACACGGTCTGACACAGAGGCCTTGACCTGTGAAGGCGGATGTAACACCCAAGAGGGCAGGAGCTTCTGTTCTTCCTCTGTTACTCCTCCACCACACGCCTGGCTAGAACAGAGCCATTTTGAATAAATACTTGTGACTTAAAAATAAAAGGATTGGTCCCCAATCAGAGACACGAAGACGCCTTTCCCGGCCAAGAGCTACGCCCATCACATGCAGAATGTCACCGACCGTCAGAGCCAAAAGGAACTCTTGAGTTCCTCTCTCCCCTTACCCCATGTTACAGATTGGAAAACCGAGGTTCAGAGAGGTGGAGAGGTCTTCCCGGGGCCTTACCAGACTTCCAGGACCGTGTCGTTCCTTTCAAGGGCCCGCAGGAGGGCTTGAGCCCCGAGGTAGGTGACGCAGTTGTTGGACAGCCTGGAGAGGAAGACGCAATGGTGAGCTTCCAGGGTGCTCGGGCGCCCTCTTGGGGGTACCCTGTCTGATTAAAGGAGGCTTTGGGAGTTGGCCGGCCCGCTGGAGCCCACCAGCCCCTCGGCCTGCCCCTCTCCTGCCGAGATTCCTCTGAACGCATCGACCAAGCCCCAAGGTCTCAAGTGAAACGTACTTCTCTCTCTCTCTCCCATCCAGTACAGTCGTTTACCCAACTACGTGGCTACTGCCCTGGGAAGGTGCCATATGCCTTTCAGTGCCGGACTTCCTGGGTCCGAATCCAGCCCACACCTCTTCCTCTCTGACCTCAAGCAAATGAGTCCCAATGTCCTCGTCTCTAAAAGGGACCTAAAAGAGCACCCCCTTCATGGGGTATGAGACTCGAACAAAGAACGGTGTCACCTAGACCACACGCCCCAGAATACAGCGAGCGTGCCTGCCTGCACAGCACGAGGGCAGCCGCTGGAGGCGCCATCAGAAAGCTCCTCTCACTCGAACCCGGGAAGGTCCCCAAAGACAGGGAGGGGCCCACAGCCCCTGTTGTCCCTCCACTGTCCCCTCCGGCTCTGAGGGCTGCTGGCCGGGAAGACCACTCTCTCCCCTGGACCCGAGGCTTTGCTCCTGACCCCGGAGGCACGCTCAGCCATGTTCAGGGCAAGCTGGAAGTGCTGGACAGTTAACGTCCCCACGAACACACTCCAGCCTAAGAAGAACAGGCAGCTGGTGGATAAATATCCACGTGGCCCAGCACCCGTGGGACTGAGCCCCAGTAGCCTCAGCAAAGACAGGCTTGGTGACACACCGTTATCCGTCACCTTCCCTTCTCCGCTCCACCTCATGGCTCTCTCGCCAGGGTTTGCTGGGACTACCTTTCCTTGGAGTCCCTGTCTGTGTTTTGGGGACCCCCCAACAATATCGGCAGTGGTCAGCCAGGCCGCCTCGGGGAAGTTAGCCAGGCTGGGCACCTGCCCAGGTCTCCAATTTGGAATCGCCCCACCCCACATTGGTCACTGCTGTCTCGGCTCCTTACTTGAGGACTTTCAAACTTGAATTTCTCGTAAGTCCTTCAGCGAGAGAGCACACACCTTCATCTTGGAGATGGTTCTCCTCCAGGCTGGGAAGAAGAACGGGGAAACTCTGTCGGTATAGCAACATTTATCGTGGAAGATCAGGTGCATGAAGGTGAGTGTTGGGAACCGCCCTGCCCAGTTTCAGAAGCTGTAACCCCCCGTGGCTAAGGCTGAGTAAAGAGACCTTGGGACCGTAAGTCACTAAGGAGACAAAGCTTATCTCCCTGGCAGGGGTGCCACCTCTGCCCCACTTTACTTCACCCTGCTTGGCCCCGGGTGGGTGACAGGCTAGCCAGTGACGTGTAAGATTCCTCAAGGGAGGGACGACCTAAGACAGGCATGGTCATGAAGGGGCCCTCAGGGAAGGACTTGGGGGGCTATAGAAAAAGCGGGTGAGGACCTCACCCCTCGGCTTTGACATAGCCCGAGTCCTCATTCTGTCTGCAGGAAGTCTCCTAATCTCTTGGCTGCCTTACTTCCCCCGCCTGACTTAAGCCTGAAACAATGCCAGAGGGCGGTGCAGCCCTGGGCAGGAACGGGCGGTTCCCTGGGGCAATCAGGCCTAAGAAAAAAAATGCATAAAATCCTGTGAAAACCTGCTTTGCGAGGAATGCCCTCAATTTTCTGATAAGGGTCCGAGCAGGAAATGAGTTTGTTTCCCAAAGTTTTGTAGCCCTTTAGCTAACAGACCCTGACTCAGAATGAGCCCTCGTAGTTCTTTGTGTGTTATCTACTGTTTGACCCTTACTGCCTGAGCACAGTGAATGAGGACCTTCCTTGATGCCATGCTCCCAGAAAGCAATAAAAGCCTGTCCGGGCAAGGGTCGGGGCGCTCTCTCCCTCAGAGAGTGGCCGCGCTGTCCCTTTTCCCCACAGGACTTCTGCAGTCCGTGTGAATTTGTTCGTCACAGCCACAACACTGGGGGTGCCGCCGGCGAGAGTCCACATCCGGTGAGCCATGACCCCCATGCACAAAGTCCAACATCCGAGAGTCAACATTTACAAATAAAGCGGGGACAGATCAGACAGGGTGTGACGGTCCTCATTCCAGGGCCACCTCCGGGAGAGAACTCGCCCCCAGTCCCCTCCTGGCCCAGGGACTCCACCCCTTGCCCCTTTCTCTCTTATCAACGGAAGCCTAATTTTGTCTGGGGCAGCCGTGGGCTTGATAAAGAAGACACAAGCGGACGACAACAACGAAAACGACATATCCCCCTCTCTGCTGCAGCCAGGGCTGGCCGACGGACATCCACAGGACGGCCACGCAGGAACTCGTAAGGGGACGTTGACAGATGGGGCCCCTGGGGATGCTCTGTGGAGGGGGGCGGCCCGGCCGGCCTGCGCCTCGGCCCTCCCGGGCTCTGCAGGCTGAATCCCGGGACGCACAAGGAGTGCGGAAGACGCTGCAGCCTTCGGGCGATCGCGAGGCCACCAATCACGAGGACGCAGACACACACTGAGTATGTGACGGATCGCAGAGAGTCCTGACCCCTGCTGGCCTCGTGGGGCCGCCCTCCCGGCCCCCGGCTGTCTACACGTGTCCGTGGAAAGCCAAGCCCTGTCCTGTTCCTGTAGGCGAAGGTCTTCCCTCCCTCGTAGCCCGCGGCAGTCCTGGCAGAGGCTCTCACGGCAAGGCCCTCCTCCCACAACAACGTCCAAGCGCTCAGACCCAATCAGGGCACAGTCAACGGAACGTGGGCGGAGCCAGTGAGCCCCACCCACCGCCACGTGGACCGCGCCCAGAGGTTTATCTGGTGCCCTTCTGCCTCTTGAATAAGTCAGCTTTTCATCGCCCTGACATGGTGCGGACCTGCCCGAGACAGGTCCTCAGAAGACTAGACTGGCGGCATCTGTCGGGTGGGAAACCTGGAATCCGTTTCAGGTCAGCGGTGGGAGTGTGGCTCTCAGTTCACCCCTGAACGCCCCACCCCACTCCCCGAACTCCACGGCGCCTTCCACCGTGCGCCTGACTCTGACGCCCAGGGTCCTCAGACACGCCCACTCGCTCTGAAAGGATCAAACTTTGCCAGTAGTGACAGTCACAGTGCCCCGCAGCAGCAGCGGCAGGGAGCAGCCGCCACGGGGGTAATGCCGTCCCCGTCACCGCGGAACGTGGCGAAGCGTGCACGCGCATCAGGGTGCTCGCAGGCATCACCGCATTCCCCTCGCACACAAGCGTCTCTAGTTGGGGGAAACCTGAGATTCAGGCGTTGTTACTGAACTTGGCTTAGAAGCTCAGCCCGCCAGATTCCGGAATCTGTGCGCTCCGCCCTGGAGCCCGGCCGAGGCAGAGCCCACACCTGCAAACCCATTCATAGAAAAAGCGAGCACCTGTATGCCAGGCTCTCTAAGCTGCACCCACGCACGACGCTGGGTGACAAGCACATTCACCTAGTCGCTCAATCACGCACCTGCGTCCCACCCACACAGCCGCTTCCCCGCATGAGGCCGGGGAAGGAAGGAGGACTGCTGTCACCCCCCCATACCGAGCAGGGACGCCCCCAAACTCACCAGAGTTCTTCCAGTGCCACGTTCTTTTCCAGCATCAGCGCTAAGGCCTTGGCACCCTCGATGCCGATGCAGTTCCCCACCAGGCTGGGTGTGACCAAGGGACACACGCGCGTCAGAGCCGGGAGGGACCTCAGAGGTAGACTGAGCCACGAGCCCCCCTTCCTCTTCCTCTTCCGCTCCCTCTCAGACACCAACCGTTGGCCACGGTGCCCTTTTCCATCCAGCCCAGGAGCAGCCTGAGCCGCCTTCCCTACACGGAGCACTGGGCGGCACTGTGGACGCGGTCGGGTGGGTCCCAGAAATACAATGTGCTCGATCCAGCCCAAGATCTTCCTCTTACAGGTGAGGGTCGAGACCCTTGCGAGGGGAGGGGACATCTCCAAAGTCACCCAGAAAGACCCTCGTGGCCTGGCTCCAAACCCAACCCCCCTTCTTTCTCATCCCCCTGCCTAACAGGGGGTGAACATGAGGTTCGAAGACCTTCCAAACGGGCGCAGGCTCCCCCCTCCTCAGGCTGGCTCCCCCCGGGACAAGGAGGGGACAGACACTGAAGCTTACCTGAGCCACTTCAAGCTCCGGTGGTCGCTCAAGGCTTCCGCCAAGGCCTGCGCCCCCTTGTCACCCACCTTGTTGCCCCAGAACCTGAAAGGCCAACAGAGTCAACAGCAGTGTCAGCGAGAGCCCGCTCTGTGTCCTGGGCCTCCTCTGGCGGTTACTTTCCTCTCCACGGCCCCCGCCAGAGGGCCAGGGCCCCCCACCAGCCCAGAAAGGTCCCACTGGGGCTCTGAGGTCCCAGCCAAGTGGGCCCACCTCCACTCAGATTACTCAGCGGCTTGAAATCAGACTTACAGAACACTCCGAACACCCAGCGCATATCCCCAGGGACGGGGAGCTCACTCCCAAAGGCAAGTCACACGGCTGTGACATTTTTCTTGACATTTAGGTCCAATCGGCTTCCTGGAAGCTGTACCCACAAGTCCATAACCACCCCCCGAGATGACCCAGAACTAGTCTATCTCGTTATCTCTTGCTCCTGAACATTCCTGGTTTCCGCATGGCGTCCAGCCCCTTCTGGGCCATCAGACCAACTGCAGCTCAGAAACACCCCTTTTCAAAGGTGCAGCCAGCATGCCCCCTGTGACTCAGCTCTTTGACACCTGGGGAGGGAGCCCGGCCACGTGCGCGCCCACGTGAGCAAAGATCGCTGAGCTGAGATGTTTTCTGCACTTCCACTCACTACGTAAATATTTATTGAGCTCTGCCTCCCTGTCAGCACTGCCCTGTGCCCCGGGGTTGGGATGCTGCAATAGCAAAAATCCGGGGCACAGCCTGAGCGTGCACCAGCGTGCGACCACTGCAACAGATTATGACAATGCAGCCAGCGGAGCTCTAAGCAGCTACTCGTGAAACAGTGAGGTCACACGAGATGAAAAGATGCCTCTACTCTATGGTTGAGGAAAAAATGCAAGTTATAGAACCGCTTGTATCACAGGATGGTGTTGGGGTAAATTTAGCACAGCGCTGGGTGCACACAGGGGCCTTCATAAACACGTGTTGAACGATAAATACCCCAGATGTGCCAGATGTGACCTCAAAAAGGAAAGAGCAGCCCTGGCTGGTGTAGCTCAGTGGATTGAGCGCGGGCTGCGAACCAAAGTGTCGCAGGTTCGATTCCCAGTCAGGGCACATTCCTGGGTTGCAGGCCATGACCCCCAGCAACTGCACATTGATGTTTCTCTCTCTCTCTCTATCTCCCTCTCTTCCCTCTCTAAAAACAAATAAATAAAATAAAAAAAAAAAGAAAGAGCTCAGCGGGTCTGTGGCCACCCCCCTCATTCTAGACTCTGAGTTACTACAGCAGCTTGGAAGGGGCGCTGGTATCTCCAGCCACAGTCCCTCTCCTGGGTCCGGCTGCACCCGGTGAGGGGTGGGGGGTGAGGCGCGTGGCAGCTCACTTCCGATCCATGTGGACTGGATCGGAGCATGTGGGGCCCTAAGATTATTCTGTCTTCCTACAGTCTGGGGTTCTAAAACCCCCGGTTCTTGTCCAATGAACCCACCAGGGCATGACAGGACAGGAGAGGGGCCACAGGGGACGGCACAGAGCAATGTTGGGGGCTGTCGCTCTGCCCAGCAAACAGGAAGCTTCGCCCTGGGGTCCGAGGAACTGCCCTCCCAGCCTGTGTCTGACTGCCCTGCCACACACCCCTGCCCCTGCCCCGACAACCTTCTTGCTAATCCGGGCTCCCCCCTTCCCCGGCCTTCTCTGTCCTTGGTCCTCACTGGGCTGCACCCCCAGATCGTTCACATATTAGTCTGGGGTGGGGCCCAGGCGATGGCGACCTGCAGAAGCACCCCAGGGCACCCCAGTGGTTCCAACGCACAGACAGAGGTGAGAAGCGCAGCCCCTGCACCCACGAGGACCCGAGGGCTTCCCGCCACCTTGTGGGAGCCGCCCACCCCCAGCCCTGACATCCCGAACTTCCTGTTTCTCCAGTGGAAAGCGAGTACCACGCCGCAGCCAAGGGCCGCCCTTGTCTCCCTGCCTTGCCTTGCCTTCCCCACAGGGGCCTGGGCTGCCTCTGGGGCTCTCTGGCTCAAGAGTTCCACCTGCCCCAAAACCCTCCACTCCGCCTGGGCCCCGGAACCCAACCTACCCCAGAAACTGCAGGGAGGTGTTGGCCCTGAGCCCCCGGGCCAGCACCTGGGCTCCGGCGGAGGTGATGCGGTTGTTCCCCAGCCTGGAAGGGAAGACAGAGGAGGCTGAGAGCGAGCGGGTCCTGGGGGCCGGCCGAAGGCCCGGGTCTGCTGGGGAAAGTGGGGCCCCGACCGAGAAACCTGGGGAAACCGCTCTGGGGGCCGCATGCAGACACAGGGGCCAGTCCGTGCTCGGGGGGCTTATGCCATAGCTCCCGACACTCTGTTTCCCACCAGCCCAGGGAGGGGCGGGGCAAAGCAGGCTGACAGGTACAGCAGGAGCCCCAGGAGGCAGAGGTCCTGGAAGGTGGTTTCCCGGGGAAGCCAGGGTGACTCACTGTCACAACTTTTCTTCCTGTCTCAGCCCCGCCGCCTTCCCGGCTGCACCTCCTGCAGGTGGCGTCCACCTGTTCCTGGCAGGCCCAGGACGGGGAGCCGGCGGGGAGGTCCTGCTGCGCCTCGGGCCGGGGTTGGCGGAACAGGTTTCACCAAAGTCCGGCCACTCCAGAGAGGGCCCCAGAGCCCTCGCCCACAAACCCAGGCTTCCTGGAACAACGGCGCGCTTTCGTTTCCTCAAAGAACTGTCACACGAAGCCGCTCCGACTCTCGAGGACCCTGTCGGGCAGGTATTATTGTCCCCTCCGAGAAGGCGGGGGCCTCTCAGGTTGCATGACTGAAGGCCCCACTCCGTGCTGAAAAACCCAGTGTCCGCTCTGCACCAAGGCCTGCCTCCCGCACCGGCTGCCGGCCAGCGACTGAGAGACCGGAGGGTCCCCGCCGCCTGCAACACCCTGAGCTGCCTTCCGCACTCTCTGGGGGCTGCCCTGGAGTCCAGGACGCGTCCTCCCCTCCCCCCTGTTCCCCCCCTCCGCTCAGACCCACACTGCAGCCTCCCCAGCGCCGATCCCCACTTCCCCTCCTAGGCCGTTTCCCATACATCCGTGGCGCGTCTCATCCCTCCTTGGAAGAGCGGGCTGACGCAGATCAGCAAGCCGGGAACGTACAGGGACCCCCCACGACCTTTCACTCCCTATGTAAGGCACTTACTATGCGTGTACATGGCTATTAACTCACTGTGACTACGGCTCACCGCAGCCGCCTGGGAGGTCGCCGTCACGGCTCTCTCCATTTTATGGAAGGAGAAACAAAGGCACGCAGTGGGCTGACCCAAGGCCGCAGAGCCAATGAGGATCCAGGTCACAGGGGTCCCGGGTTCAAACCTCAGCCGGCCTGGCTGCACAGCCCCGGGCTCTGAACAACGATGCTCTATGCGTCAGAGGCCCAGGCCTGCACCTCTGAGTGCGGCCTGCCACCCACAGCGCCCCCTGCAGCTGGGCCAGCCCGGGCCTGGCCACAGCCGCCCTCCCGTGTGTGATTAGGGGGTGGGGGAGATTGGCAGCAGAAGACGGTCCTTTGCACAGAAGGGTCCCCCTGGCTCAGTCCCTGCCTGAGACTGAGCGGCACAGTCAACGAGTTGAAAACGGCAGCTCCCATCCGCAAACCCAGCCCCGGCGGGCAGGAAGAATCAATGGAGGCAGGTCTTTACTTTGTCTTCTTTCACTGCCTGTCGGCCCAGGAGGTCAGAACACCCCAGGGAGAAAGAGAAGCCGGGCCAGACAGGGACCAATCAGATAGGAGGGAGCCCAGTGGAGGCCGGGGGTGGGGGGAAGAGCAGCTGACAAGCACATTTCCCAGGCTGGGTGCAAACCCTGCGCCCACCAAGCACCACAAAGGACCTTCTGAGATCTTTCTGTGGCAGCTGGCAGCCACATCTGTGGTGGCAAGTGACTGCGGCATCTGCCCCCTGCGCCTGAGCTCAGCAGACAGCAGGGAGTTTGGAAGCCCAGAGAGCTCGCGACACTCTCAGACACAGAAGGAAAAGGGCCTGGGCGCTACAGGTCCAAGGGCACAAAGCCCTCGGCATAGCCGGTCCAGGCTTTGCTGGGGAGGTCAAAGCATTGGCCAAGCCCCCTCCAGGGGGGCCCCTGTGCCTGTATTCAGCCAGGAAATCAGGCACCCGGTATGGGCCATCCGGATGGAGCCGCGGCGGGGACAGACAGCGTCCAGGGAACGGGGACGCCGAGGCTCACCTCAATGCCAAGAAGTTCTGCCGGCACTCGAGGAGCCTGGCCACGGACTGCGCGCAGCCGTCGGTCAGCTTGTTGTTGAATAAACTGGAAAGTTCGGAGACAGAGACGTGGAGGCAGGCACAGGGGCAGCACCCGCCCAAACCCAGGACAGCCCTTCCCTCGGGGCGAGAGTCTCCCCGCACCCTGCCACCGCGCACACACCTGTGCAGCCCACCACCGCTCATGGCTGCTCCTGGAGAACGAGGAGGCTGGGGACCGGGGGACCTGGGGACCTGGGGACCTGGGGCCCAACGTCCCGGCCCAGCCCGACTTACGCTAACTTCTGCAGCGCCTCACAGTGAAGGGCGTGTTCGGTGAGCTTGCAGATGCCTCGGTCTGAGATGTTATTATCTCGCAGGCTAAAAAAACACCAGATAAATAAACTTGAAACCAGAGCTCATGAGAGGGGGCAAAAAAAACATAACCAAAACCTCCAAAGTGACTTTCACTGGTCCCCAAAGAGACTTTCACTCGTCCCCACAGTGACTTTCACTCGACCCCAAAGTGCTGGCATCTGCGCTTCTGGGAAACGCCACAGTGATGGAGCAACCCAGAAACGCGGGGACTCCCCCATCCCTGGCCCAGGGTGCTGATGTCGTGCATGACATGGGGGCAGCTCAGGAACTGGGGACCCGGAGCCCCTGCTCAAGAACACCGGGCCCCTCGGGAAGTCACAGACCGAACCCGAAGAGCCCCTTCCAGGTCTGTGGGGGGAAGTGGCCGTCAGCACGGCCGCACAGAAGGTTCCGGGGTGGGAAGGAGCTGTGAGGCGGCCAAGGAGCAGAGGAACTAGACAGGCTTCCTACCCCAGGACCGGGCAGCTGGGCAAGCAGAGGGTAGACCAGTTGGACAAGAGGGGCCCATACTTGGGAAAACCAGCACGAAGGCCGTGGGCAGTGAGGTTCTGCTATCCAGCCCTTCACCCCCAATGACATCACTCCTGCGGGTCAGACCCCACCTGGCAGCCCCTGGACACGCCTCTTGGGTCAGTGTTTCCAAAGCTCACCTCATCACAAGATCCGAAAGCATCCCTAAAACACGGGCTTCCGCCCCGGCGCCTGGAGCTGGCCATGCAGCATGTACACACCGGGGTCCAGAGCACAGTGTATTGTAACACCTGTGGGTGGGGTCCTCCAGCGTCAGGCAAACTTGGGAGGCCCTGCCTGACAGGGTCACAGCTCAGGCTCTGGAGCCCCTTGGTGGGGGTTCTGATCCCGAGCAGCCACCCACCCACCAGCTGTTCGCTGGAAGGTAAGCAAGCCCTGGTGCGGATTTAAAGAGACAGTGCACCGAAAGCCCTGTCGGCACCTGGCACAGGGTAAAAGCTAGCAGGATCGCTGCGCGTATGGAGCACCGGACACACCGGCGCCGCCTGAAGCACTTCCTCAGAGTAACAGTCCTTAATCCTCGCAAGCCCACGAAGTAGGCAGAGAGAAGGACAGAGACACAGACACGGGAAGCGGCTTCACCAGGTCGCACAGCCCCCGAAGGGTTTGCATGAGGCGGTCCGGCCCCAGAGCCCACCCCTTCACGGGGTCCCTGCTTGGCCTCTCTGTTCTCCGAGGCTTCGGAGTGCCGGCAGCCACGCTGCAGATTCAGACTCGTTGGTGGGCCACGAAGTCAACTGTGAAGGTCATGAGCAGCAATGTTTAAGCGGAAAAAAAGGACCAGCACAGAAAAAAAGAGCAGAGGGAGCCCAAGGTAAGGAGGGAAAGTCATTTTGAGAAGTTTTTGTTTCGTCTCCCCTTTGCACCGTGGGTCCCAGGCAAAACCTTTGAAAGCCGCCACCCCAGCGTGGTTTCGGTTGGCATGGAGATGCTGCAGGTGGGAAAGAGGCCCCTGGCACTGTGGGAGAGAGGAGGGGGCCTCTCTCTCTCTCTCTTTCACACAGGAAATGCTCACACAGCAACCTTGTGGTTGTTCCCCCTCCCCCGGAGTGTGGCAATTTCAGTACTTGGTCAAAGACGGTCATTTGCTGACAGAACAGCAAGCTGGTTCCCACCGACCAGCGGCGTCCACGGTGTGGCCTCCGGAACACTTGTAGCAGCATCTCCAGGGATGTCTGTTTCAAACCTAGAGTCCTGGGCCCCCCCCCAGACCTGGAGGACGGGAAGCCCCGGGGACAGGCCCAAATGCGGGAAGCACTGCCAGGAGCCCCTCTGCCCCGAGTGCCTGAGCCGCAGGACTAGAACCGGACCAGCCTCAGCTCCTGGGGAACTAGAGACGGGCGCCCAGCCTCCCCTGGCCCTTGGCCCTTCTGAGCTCGGGGATGGGGGAGGGGAGGCGGGAGCTGGACCACATGGGCTTCCCTCACCAAGGAGAAGGGATCCATTCATTTCAGGGATGGCTCTGGGAGGGCCACCCAGGCCGGTGGGTCCTGACCTCTTGGGGCTCAAGAACCCCCTTGACCACCATGGGCCCATAATCCAGAAGCGTGCACAGGTACACTTCTAGCAGGTAGTGGCTCCCACACACTGGCCTGCAAATTCCCGAGTGAAAAGTCCTTCCCCAGGAGATCGGAGGGCTGCACCGGCCACTGCCCTGTCCCCAGCCGGGTCCCGCCCGCCTTCTCAGCCTGGCTCTGGGGCCTGGAGGGGGCTGATTCTGGGGATGTCACCCGTGGGTTCCCTGCTCTGGCTCCCGGTGGGGTTAAGGCAGGGGTGGGGGTGCATTCCCCAGGTCCCACCCTTCCAGGTTGCTGCCACCTCGGCGGCTGTCAGGAAGCCCTCTCCCTACCTTTCTCCCAGGTAATAACCCTCCTCCTCTGCCCCTCAGGCCTGGGGAGTGTAACACCCTTCCCCACCCCCTGTCCCACTGTTACAAGCCCCGGGACCTGGCTCTTCCTAACACCTGCCCAAGCCTTTGAAAACACTCCCTTTACTGAACTCTCCTCAAGTCACCGAATGTAAATGTGTCATCTGATACATTCATACGTGTAATATATCATCGTTATATGTAATACCCGTATTAACCGTATATGATATACGTTGTATTATTACACCTTATCTATACACTGAGGGCCACGGTCCCTGGAAAGGGGTGAAGGTCACATCGCCGCTCAGAGTCTAGTCGCTGTCTCTGCGTTTGCTCCACGAAGACCAGAGACGGGCTGCTTTGGCCTGGAGAAGGTATGCCACCTTCCCAGGCTCCACGAGACGTTTGTCCCTTGCGCAGTGCCAAACGCCCGGGAGGCTGTGCATTGATTTTAACTCTGAAGTTACAACTTCTGCTTTCTCAGGGGTTATAAATAGGGGTCAGGACATCCCCTTTTGAGGCCAAAAGGGAAGTTGGGGAGCCGGGTGCTGGCCACCAGACTCGGGCACAGCCTCCAAGCTGGCCAGGCCCCAGGCAAGGAGGAAGGCCCCGGGGGTGCAGGGCAGCGACCTTCCGAAGGGGTCAACCTCACACCTTCAGGCGGGGCTGACGGCAGCATGGGTGGCGCCAATACCTCGTCCGCACCCCGCACCGCGTAAGGAACGAAAGCTCGGGTGAGACCCCACAGCTTCTTTCGCGCTCTGGGGTCCCGGAATTCCCATCTCGTTGGGGCTTTAACGCTTCTGATGGGGCACAAGCCGCTGTGGATTTGGAGCGGTTCCTAACACACCTAACATGGCCACAGAGGACACGCAACTGTGCGCGTGACCTCAGAGTTGCCGGGGAGCCTCTGACGCCCATGCACAGACGGGGTGACAGGGTGCCCGTGAGGGGCAGGACCGTGTAACCAGAAAGACGCGCCAGGTGACTCACAGCTCTGCCATTTCCTACGGGACCCTGGACAAGTTACGTCACGTCTCTGAGCCTTGGATCTGGGACAGAGAGGACAAGACCGTCCCTGCCACAGCCCAGGGCGGCCGTGGAGATAAGAGAAGTCATTCCGGGAAGTGCATGGCGCCGTGCCTGTCACACGGGCTGTCCTAGGGACTGTGGCTATCATCACCCTATACTTCGGCTAAGGCCCAGGTGGGCACTGGAATTATCGGGGGGGGACCACTTTGTAAATTACATAATTGTCTAACCACTGCACTGTACACCTGCAACAAATATAAAAAATACGATAATAAAATAAACCAAGGCCCAGGCAGGGGAAGGGGACCCGGCCAGGGCTGCCCAGAAGAGGTGGCACTGCCTGCCTGGCCCCGCGACACTTACTAAAGGGCCTTGCAGACCCAGAGGCAAGGCAGCAGCTGCTCCACGCCGACGTCGCCCACGGAGTTGTGGTCCAGCTGCAAGGCCACGGGCCGCCGGAGGTGCCGCAGCACGAAGGCCAGGGCGGCACACTCGGCGGGGCCCACGCTGCAGAACGTCAGCTTGAGGTGCTCCACGCTGAGCCCGCGCACGGCCTCCCGCGCCAGCCGCTCCTCCCGCAGCTCGTACAGGCTCCGGATGAGCCACACGAACCCGGGCATGGCGTGCATGCTCTTGGCCTCCCCCGGCAGGGCTGGAGGGATGGAGCGGAAGTGCTTCTGGAGGCTGCGGGCCAGGCAGCGGCGGGCGCAGGCCTGGCGCCGCAGCAGCGCCTTCTCAGACGCCTGGCACTCGGCCAGCAGGCCCCGGTGCTCCTGGGACAGCAGCCCTGCCAGGAAGGCCGCCGTGATCTGGAGGTTGTGCGGCTGGGCCTCCTGCAGCAAAGCCTCCACGCTGCCCTCCCTGCGCCGCGAGCCCTGCACGCACAGCGCGGGCAGCAGCCTGGCCAGCGGCGAGCTCCCTGTCCGAGGACAATTGAAGAGGTGTCTGAGCGAGGACGGCGTCACGTCGGCACTGAGCGCCAGGTAGAACGCGGCAAAAAAGCACTGGAAAGTGATGTGCAGGAACTCCAGGAGAGGGGCGCTCCCGGGCACAGCCCCCTGGGCACGCACCAGGAAGCCAAGAGAAATGTCCTCCTCGTCCACGCCTGCTGCCTGGAGCTGCTTGGCTGAGAACACGTAACAGCTCCTGCCCAGGCCCCAGAGAGCCAGGCGGCCGAGGTGCAGGAGGGTGGGGAGCCGGCCTCTCAGCAGGCCAGCTCCCAGGGCGCGGCGGACCGAGTCCGGCGGGGAGGCGTGCAGCAGGAAATGCTGCAGGAACAGCAGGTACATGTCCGTGGTGGTCTTCGGGGGCCCCCCGCCCTGCAGCAACAGTTCCTGGTGGCATTTGGACACCATCCACGCGAAGACGGGGAGGTGGCACAAGCCGTGGAGGGTGGAGGTCTCTCTGAGCAGGCGGACCAGGCGGTCGGCCACGCCGGGCCCCCGGTGGCGCCTCCTCAGGTACAGTTCGATGCCGTCCTCGGAGAAGCCCTTCAGGCGGAGCTCCGTGCGCACGTACTTCCGGAGGAGCGAGGACACCGCGTCCGGGCGGCTGGTCAGCACCTTGCGGGCGTTCTTTAACAGGTTGCCCTGCAGGAGGTTGAAGAGCAGGCTCTGGACAGACGTGGGGTCGGTCGGAGAGCAGTGCCGCTCCCGATCCGTGAACTTGAACCTGAACTCGTCAAAGCCATCGAAGGTTAAGAGGACCCGGTCGGGGTGGTCCAGGAGGAATTGGAAGACGTCTTGCTGGCCAAGGTCGGGCCAACAGCCGTGTTCAAAGAGCAGCGTCCGCACGGACAGGGGCCTCGCCACGCACTGCAGCTGCCGGCAGCTGAACGGGAAGACGAAGAGAAACTCCTGGAAGTCCCGCCCCGAGGCCCAGAGCAAGTGCAGCTGCTGCAGGAGCGTGCTCTTGCCGCTGCCCGCCTCGCCCACCACCAGTACGGTGTCTGCGTCCTCGTTGAGGTGGCCCCCGGCGCTGAAGAGCCCCTCCAGGCCCAGGGTGGCGGGGCTCTGCTGCGGGGGTCCGGCCACGCCCACCTCTGTCCGGATCTCCAGAACATTCTCCGTGTATATTTCCTCCAGGCGAAGATTCTCCGCTCCGTCGTAGGTGCTCAGGAAGCAGGACTGAGCAGAGACCGTGGACCTCAGCTTGGAGATGTACTTCTTACACGCGGCGGCGTCTGGAAGACAGAGGCGGGGGCCGAAGAGGTGGGACCCGAGCCGGGAGGGGGCTGCAGCGAGACGCCGCAGGTGCGAGAGGACAGCCGGCGGGCTCTCCACTCGCAGGCTCTGGGCTTGGACGGCGGTCACGTCACCTTCCTCCCCCTCAGCTTCCTCCCCTGAGACGTGCGATGGAGGGTGGTCCCTACCTTGGAAGGTTTTTACCTGGATCGATTACAATAATTCACGTCAAGGGCTTTATTCAGTGTCTGACACAAAATCAGCTCTCCAAAGACATTAGTTAGCCTGGCTGGCATAGCTCAGTGGATTGAGCGCAGGCTGCGAACCAAAGCATCGCAGGTTCGATTCCCAGTCAGGGCACATGCCTGGGTTGCAGGCCATGACCCCCAGCAACCACACATTGATGTTCCTCTCTTTCTCTCTCTCTCTTTCTCCCTCCCTTCCCTCTCTAAAAATAAATAAATAAATAAATAAATAAATAAAGACATTAGTTAGTGCTGCTGTCATACGGAAGTCGGGACGAGCTGCTGATGAGAAGGGGCCCGGGGCTGGACCAGAAGACTCGCCGCCCTAGGACTGAGCGGCCTTAGAGAACCCCCTTCACCGCCCAGACCCCGCTGAACCCCCCTAAAGGGAAGCGGAAGCCGCCAGGGCCGCGGAGCCCAGCGTGTGAAGTCACACATCCCTGAGCCTGAAACCTGAGCCCCCGTCAGCGCGGGCACGCCACTTTCCTGGCCCTGGTTACCTCGTCTGTAAAAATGGGGCCCACGCACATCTGGAAGGATTGCTTCGGGAGGAAACCAGGTAAAATAGAATTTAGAAGAAAAACGGTGTTTAGTATCATTATTATTAGTGGGTGTGTTTTAGGCCCAACCATGGACCACCCCCTCCCCGCCCCCCAGAGAGGTCCACATCCTAGTCCTCGGAATCTGTGAATATGTCACTTTACTTGGAAAAGCAACTAGATGGATGTGATGAAAGGCCTCCAATGGGGGGATGATCCGAGGTTACCTGGGTGGGCCTAGCCCTCGGGGTCACCGGGGTGCCCGGGTCAGCAGTGAGACCAGATTTCCTGACCAAAGTCCACTTCCCCATCCTCTCCAGCCACCCCCTGCAGTCAGAGCCCCAGTGCAGGGCGTGTCCCCAGGCTGCAGCTTTTCCTTTATCATCCCAACACCCAGGCAGGCCACGGCCTTGTCGGGGACAGTTCCCCTTTTCAGGGAATGGGGAAGTGGCAGCTGAGAGCCCCGCCTAGGGGAAGCTCGGAGCCCCGGTCACCCCGTCCCAGCCTCACTGCCCCCGGCCACGTTCTGGCCTGCATGTTCCCAACCCCAACTCTGACGAGCAGTCTTCCTAGAGCACTCGTAGCGCGCAGACGCTGGACTGCGTCACGTAAACCTGCGTTTCCTCCTGCGTTCCCAGAACCGGCCACCGCGGCTCCGAATGCCCCACGGATGATGCCCCAGGAGCACTGCACGGAGACCACAAAGCACATCCGTCCCAAACACTCTGACTTTCAGTGCGGCCTCTCCAGCCATCGCCAGCGACAGAGAAATCCTATAGGTAATACTTTTTTACCTCTCATTTTAAAAATGAACAATGCCACTCGTCCCCTTCAGGATCGTCACCTTGGGGAACCGTGCACCGTGGCACGGGGTGACAGCACGGGAGTGGCGGGCGGAACTGGCGGACATCAGCGGCAAACGTCAACCAAGGGCAAAGCGGGCAGTGACCCTGCATGGTTCTCACCCCCTGCCGTGCACTGATGTCACGCTCTGTTCTCAGGTGACAGTGTGCACGTCCAGGGACCAGGCACAGGCTTCCGGCCACCCCTCCCACGGGCACGCTCGCCACCCAGAAGGCCAGCCCGGGGTGACAGATCCATCCGCCAGCACCACGCAGAGACAGGGGCCCTCAGTGCGGATGGGCTTTCCCTACGGTGCCGGGGGAGCAAGACCCAGAAAGCACCTGGCTTATGCTTTCTTTCTTTGTCACCGCTGTGATTGCTCCCCCCAGGAAAAGAGAGAGCCAGGGTGGGGACTGCCCACAACCAGCCCCATCCTCCCCCACCTCCTGCCCCAGGCCTCACATCTGGGAAGCAGAGAAAGCGACACCTACGTCTCAGGGGACAGAGACTGTGAACAAAGCACCCAGCGGGACACCTGAGTGGGGCGGCTAACCCTGTGCACGCTGTCGAAATCCATCTGGTTCTCGGATTTCCGATAGCGAGTAGCTACATCGCAGAGATCGAGCGATTCCAGCCCTTCGTGGGGTGACTAAATGCCGAATCTCTCTGTCGGACACCTGAAACTCAGATAATGCTGTCCGTCAACTGTAACCGAAAAATAACTTTAAAAATAAAAGAGACACCAGCCCTGTCTCAGAGTGTGTCCGCATCTCTTTAGTACAGGTCATGAGAGTCTGGCTAGCAAGCAACACCTGCCGACAGCCTTCAACACGCAGTAGCTCCAGAGATCATTCCGGAAATAATAAAAGCTAACCTCAGTATCACCGTGGGCCCTGCTCTTCCTCCCAGCAGCCCAGTGAGGCAGTGGCGGTGTCACCCTTAAACCGAGGAAGCCGGTGGGTCCGGGAGAGACCGGCTCAGCCAGGAGGCGGGAGCCCAGCTGACGTGCCTCAGCCTGGAGTTTTTCCCCTGACCCCCGAGCCAGGACCCTGCACAGCCCTTCCTTCCTTGCCTGGGGACGAAGCAGAACGTACACACAGATATACCTTCGAAAGGCGGGGCCAGCGGGACGGGCAACTCCAGCGCCTGCTGTAGAAGGAAGGCAGCCAGCCCATTGGCCTTCACCGTGGCCAGATCCAGGAGCCTTCTCGCCTGCGGGGAACGAGAAAGTCCTTATTTTTCCGGAAGGGCTGAGGGACAGGCATGGGGTGGGGGGGTGTCCACCAATTCCTGCGACTTCATAGACACAATGAGGGGCCAGAAAAACAAGCAAGCGGCAGCATGAGTTTAGAGAAGCCCAATTCATTCATTCAATAATGCAGGCATTTCATTGACAAGTACTTAATGAGGACCTACTATGTGCAGGACACTCTGAGCACGATGGGCTTTCAGACAGAGCCCGGCACGTAGTAGGCATCCAAATACATTCTGGCTGCATAAATGAGTGATTTAACGACAAATGAACGAGTCTGGCACTAGGTCCAGCACCGGCCCTCTCTGCCAGCTCACTCGCAGCGTCTTCTGGGCCTCCACCCCCCGATGTATACAGTGGGAAGTTAATGACGGCTCCCTCTGTGTCACAGGAGGCCTGAGAGTCCCCGTGTGGGGGAAACTAGAACGAAGAGGCTTCAGGCGTTAGACATGCCTGTGTTCTTGCAAACGGCGCTCTCCGCGGCTAAGCCCCATCCCCGCTCCGGCGGCCGTCTGTGCCCTGACCCAGTTTCACCCCAGATCTCCCGTGTGGGCGCTGAAACCGTACGGGTGTGCCGTGTGCTTACGTGAATCACTGCACGCAGCTTTCACGTCACGAATTTGTACGACCTGCTGAGCCGCGCGTGGCCAACAGGCAGCCACAGAAGGGCGCAGCGGGCAGCAGCACGGTGCACAGAAGTGCTAGTGGCCGCTGGTGACGTTCGTGAGCGCTCACTACGCGCTAGACCCTGTCTCGGGTGTTAACGCAAAGCGACTCACTGATTTCTCCCAAGAAGCTGCTGGCGCTTTTAGAAATGAGGAACCTGAGACGGAAAGGCCAGGGCTGGGGTGTTTCCATGGTGAGGATGGCCTTATTCTGACTCCGGGCCCAGCCCGCGGCTACCACGCCGCACTCCGTCTCATCAGACGCGGAGTGATTCCAGAACGCAACACCTTTACCGGCCGGGCCACCTTCTTAGGGGAAACCCGCCGCCCAGGTCTCCCCCTGGCGCTGACCTCACAGCAATGAATCGGTGCGGGTGACTCGGCAGCAACTTTTTCCTGTGAATTCTGATCGCCCAGGACGGAAGTGCCTTACCCGCTGGGATGATGTGAAGATAGGCAACCTGATTTCGTCACATTCGTACGGGCTGATGAAACCGCGCGCCTGCGCCAGCTCCAGCACGCCCTCCACGTGGCCGTAGAGTCTCCTGACAATGGCTGGCCGGTGACACCGCAGGTCCCGGGCTGGGTGGGGTGAGTGGGGGTCCCAGTGGCCACGCCCCTTTGGGGACTGCCTGTCGGCCTGTGCTTCCTGCAAAGCCTGGACGAGCTGCTCACAGCCCCAAGCGCCTTTACTCCAGACCGTGTCCAGGAGGCGCCGGGCCAAGTGGGAGAGGGGCTGGCCGGGGAGGCGGAGGCCCTCATAGTCCTCCCAAGACAGGACTTCCCAGGACAGGAGCCAGTCCAGGACGCTCTCGAAGCCCTCCAGGGACCCGGACACCAGCAGCTCCACGAGCTGGCTTCTCTGTGCACGGAAAGCCTCCTGCGTGCATGTCTCGCCGCCTGGGGAGGACAGCGAGGGCAGCATGACTTCTCCGGAAGCAAGAAGGCTGTGGGGGGGAGGGGGGAGGAGGCCCGTCTGTTCCACCCTGAGTCCAAGCCAGCCACGGTTCAGCCCCCGGACGTGCCCCGATCCCAGCTCCCCATTGCACAGATGTGCAAACTGAGGCCCAGAGGAGGCAGGACATGGGCTCAGGGTCCCACAGGGAGTTTGAAGTGGGCAGCGGTTAAATCAAGACCCCTGGCTCCCGAATCCAGGGTTCGTCCCCAGCTCAGGGCGTTTAAGAGACGTCTGAGCCGGTAGGAAGAGCCAGGCGGGCCGAGGGACTGGGCACTGACCTCTGTCTGAGGCGGTGTGCCAGGGCTCCTGCATGCCGACGGGGCTCAGGCCGCGGCAGCTCCCGCTGCGGTCGTGGCTCGTACTCATTAAGCACCTACGAGGTAACAGGCACCTTTCTAAGCAGTTTCCGACCTGAATCGGTTTACCCCTCCCATCCACTCTGAAGTAGATCTGAAGGTGCGATGACCAGCCCCATTTTACAGATGAAAAAACTAAGGCACAGAGAACTAAGGCCAGGGGAGCTGCACAAGCGCTCACAGCCAGGTGAGGTGGGTTTGGCCCCAAGGAGCACAACTCCAGAAGCTTGCCTTTGACCCCGTATACCTGGGTTCCCCAGAGGGGCCCGAGCCCATGCCTGTGTAGGTAACCCCCTGCTACCCCAAGGGACAGACCCAGCCCTGGATGGTGTGGCTCAGTGGACTGAGCGCCAGCCTGAGAACCAAAGGGTTGCTGGTTCGATTCCCAGTCCGAACACAGGCCTGGGTTGTGGGCCAGGTCCCCAGTAAGGGGAAGGCAACCCTCCCTCCCTTCCCCTTTCTCTAAAAATAAATGAATAAATAAATAAATACAGCCCCAGAACATTGCTATAACTCAAGAGAAGCAAAAATCGTTGTGCAAACTCAAGGGCACACTGACCCCGGTCATCACTGTCCCCTCCCCACCTGCCCCAGGCCCTCCCCTCCCTCCCCACCAAGCCTTACATGCTGTCGCCTGTGTCCACGGCTCAGCTCGTGCTGGGCTCAGCCCTCAGCCTCTGGGTGCTGAGAATGGAGGGGGGGGCAGCCTCTCTAAGATTCGAGCCCTGGGAGGGTCCCCAAGCAGCAGAGAGACTCTCCGGGCAGAGCCGGCTCTGCGGCTGTCACAGGTCCTGCCAAAAATGAAAGTAAAAGGGTACAGGCATGGAAAAACAGGAGGGACGCCTGCTGCTTTTTACAAGGCAGGGGCATTCCCAGGAGTCTGGCGGCTTGGCAGCTTTCCTATTGGCTGTTTATGGGTGTCCCTCCCTTCCGACCCCGGGTCTCACTCGTTACGGCATCCCGGAGCTTGGTACAGGGTGGGGCCCTCGAGGGGCACCGTGGGAATGCTCCTGAGCCAAAAATCCACCGAGGGAGGGGCGGGGCTGTACCGGTCTGTGCCTGCCTTCGCACGCCAGCCAAGGTAAGGGGAAGGAGAACTCTCCAGCCGGAAGCCTTGTGCTGGCTGGGCGAGGAATCTGGAGCGGCGAGGTTGCCTGTGTGTCTGGCGGCTTGGGAAGGAGGGTGGCCTCGATACAGTGGGTAAGTGCAGCAGGCCCTAAAACTGTTCTCTCGGGCCAAGCAGGCTCCCCATGTGTGCCCACGGCCACGCAGAGGTGTCAAGAGGGTAGAGGTGGGGAGGGGAGAGGAGAAGGTAGGAGGAGGAGGGAAGCGTGCTGGGCTGGACCCTGGAGTGGTTCTCAGCTGAGCAAACCCAGCACCCCCAGCGCCCCTGGGGGAAAGAACCACCCACCCTGCTTCGGGGCACAGCCCAGAAACGGGGTCGGGGCTCGCCCCCCGAGCCAACACCTGCAGGGCCTGTGGGCAGCCAGGAATGAACAGAGTGTAAAAGTTAACATGGCCCAGGGGGAGGCCCGCTGCTCCCTCCCAAGGCAGATAGCTGCTCTCACCTCCGAATCCAGAAGGTCTGGACCCCCCTCTCCAGAAGGTCTGGACCCCCCTCTCCCAAGTGAGCGGCCATGGCCAAGTTACCTAGGGCACACCTTGAGCAGGAAAGACTAGGCCAGGTAACGCAGGACTGGCAGGCTTAGCTCCGCCAGGGGAAACCCCCAAAGAGTGGGCCAGGCGCCAGAGTTGGCCAACCTGTCGTCTGGAACTAGGTAGTTCTGGGCCATTCTGGCAGAAAGCCTTGTGCATCGGCCATGACCTCCACGGGGACCTGAGACACGCACCCAGGTGTGCTCACCCACTGGGGACAAGGAAGCAGGACCCTTCCTGAACACACCGAGTCCGGGGTCCCGACGGGTGGTCGAGCCACACAGATCCAGGCAGTGATGTCAGGGCCTTGTGGACACCGGGAGGGAGCGGCAGGGCAATGCCATAACAGTCGACACTCTGTTCTCCTACCAGCAGCTGGAAAGTCCCAGCTCTGCCCGGGCCCTGTTCCAGAAACCTCAGAGCAGGCAGAATCCCCAAGGACCGACTTGGCCAGCACCCTGTCTCCAAGCCAGGCTTGTCCTGTTCCATCATAAACATCCAGGACGGAGGACCTGGCTTTGTGGCTGTCCTCACTAAGCAGCTCGGGAAGTTCCTTATGATGTCTGACTTGAGTTTCTCCTGCTCCACTTTAAATTGGGAGAGAGTGATGTCTGCTCATCACCTATTTAATAAAAAAAATTAAGGTCCCTAAACTCCTGCCGCTTGCCCATTTATCACCTGCCTGGGCTTCCCCTCTTCAGACTAAATGCATCCGTCTGTCACCATTGGCTTTTCTTCTCCACTTCAGTCACTACAACCTCGGGGTCACCGTAGTCTTCCCTTAAGGAAGGAGGCGAGGCCCTGCCTTGCTGAAACAGGGCCCCGGGAAAGGGGCGACCCACACAGACGGTCCCTGATCCCCAAACCCAGGCCAGGCCCAGACACCTCCTTCCTCCCTGACACCACAGCCGGCCTCGGTCATGGGGACCCTGCCTGAGCACGGATTCACTTCAGGGATGAAAGCTCAGCCACTCGGTCTCTGCAGGCCAAAGAGGAGGGGGCCCTGGGAAGCCCAACTTCTGAACAGCGTCTCATTAGCAAGGAGAGGGGCCCTGCTCCGGGTGGAAGGGGAGTGGGCTGGAAGGGGTCCCCGCCAGCCTCAGATCCCAGTGCACAGGCTGGTGATGGGGACCTGAGTAACCCACAAACGTCAGGGCAGAGTGACTGGGACACAAGAGCGGAGGCAATGAGAATGTCGCTCTGGTTCTCTTCACCAAGGGGTTTCCCCTCCAAAAACCAAAGAACCTCGTGGCCAGGGGGCAGCCCACGGGGGGACCACTGCCGCAACAGGGAGAAACCCCAAAGGCTCAGGAAGAGGGAGAGAAACCAGGGCAGACTGAGGGCCAGGGGTTCGGCTTGGGGGGCTTGTTAGTTTTCTGGGAAGCAAGCAGGGTCAGATGGGGGCTCCCCAACATGAGACGCAAAGGAGAGGGACACAGGCCCAGAGGATGTGACCCCGGGCAGATCCTGGTGTGGGCCTGTCCAGCAGCAGTGAGAGGGTGAACAGGGGTCTCTGCACCCACCGAGGGGGGCTGCGCGGGGGACCCCCAAAAGGGTTACCAGGCCACAGGAAAGGTTAGAGACCGCTCAAGCACTCTCTCACCGGAACCCATCCACTCGCAGGCAAGCATGGAAAAGATGGGGAAACTGAGGCCCAGAGAGACAAGAGACCTGAGAGTCCCCGCTGAGACCTGAAGCCTGGCCTCATTCCCAGGCCAGCCGGTGCCTCGGGACTTTCCAACCCGCTGGCTCTCCCTCCACAGCCCCCCACCCCCCACATCACCACGGCTCTCTGCACCTCAAAGGCTCATGGGGCCCAGAAGTTCTACCAATACCCTCAAACCTCTTCTTCCACAGCCAGAGCCCGCCAGGGGGCTCCCCATCCCCAAGCTGCCCGCTCTCCCTCTACCTTCCATGTGGACTCCGGGATCCTCCGGGAGAAACTGAAGCAGCCCTTCTTAAGCCAGGTGTCCGAGTCCCGGGACGGGACCCTCCGCTCCCGCCGTCTCTTGGCGACGCCGGGCACTGGAGCACACAGTTTGGGCCACCGGCAACCCCGAGCCTCCCTGCGGTTGGGGCCACCGCTCCAGGATGCCAAGGATCCTGCGCTCTGCCCCGCCCCCGCCGGGCCCCGCCCCCGCGCTTGGTCCCGCCCACCTGTAGGGCAGCCACGCCCCCTGTGTCTCATCCCACTGGGTCTGCCTCCCTGGCTGCCACACCTCCGCTGAGATTGGCTGGGCTGCCTGCAGGGCTGGACCACCCTGGCTGCTTGACTCAGGCCCTGTGTATCCTGGCTTCTGGGTCGCCTTTCAACCGGAGGGAACCAGAGAATGCCCCTCCTAACACGCCCCCCCCACACACGCGCGCGCGCGCGCACACAGTGACATCCTGTGGAATGAGAGCCGGGAAACGCAGCGGCAGAATACACCGCGCGCTTGGAGAGGGGTCCGTGAGTCCACAGCCGTCTAAAGCCTTAATATTGTGGGGTCCGAGAGCAGCGCTTTGGGGGTGTGATGGGTTACACGTCAGGTGTGTCTTTATTTTTCCATGTTTCTTTCGATTCTGCTTTCCGAGTTGAGGCTCTCAGTCTCCTACCCATGGGGCTGGAACACTTCCTGCCGGTGACTTCTTACTGTCCCAAGCAAGTGACGCTAGTTTTCCATTCAAGGCATTAATAAAAATGTTCCATTTAAAAACACTTGTATTTGGAGATATTTTTTTGAAGTCGAGGCTATTTAAAGAAAAAGAACTGATATTTGCACAGTGCTTACATACACTGACTCAATTAGTGCCGCCTCCGGGGCCAGCCTAACGTTGACCCTAAGTGATAGATGAAGAAATGAAGGCACCGAAAAATTAACCTACCCGAGTGGTGACTGCAGAGCCGAGATTCGCCCCCAGGCACCTGGCAAGTTCCGGTCCCAACCGCCACCCCACACTGCCTCCAGGTGAATACCTGCACCGGTGCATACCTGCACAGGTGCATACCTGCACAGGTAGTTCGCAGTGAGTCAGGCCGGGGCTGGGAAACGCTGCCCTCGATGGGCTGAAACCACCCCAGGAGGACCACTCCAGGTGGCGTGCTGGGCTACCTGCCGGCACGCTCGGCACCAGCCTCCCTCTCACCGTGCCAAGCTGGCCGCCTCACAAATGCCCCATAACAGGGGGTTACCCAGGGCGACGGGCACAGCGACTGGGAAACTCGGCCGACTCGTCTTCTTTCACCCGCACAGCCACCCTGGGAGCAAGCTTTCCCGCCTGACCTTAAAAACACACCCAGAATGCAGCCCCTTCGTACTAGAGCACCGTGACTGCCAGGGTGCCAATCACCGGCGTCTCTTACCTGGGCTAGAGGAATCCCAGCTGCCAGCCATGCTTCCAAACGGCAGCCAGTGTGGGTCTGTTAAAAACAAAACAAAACAAAACAAAAAACAGTCAAGTCATCCTTCACTCCTGTGCTGAAACCCACCCGTGACTGCCATTTCAGAGATAAAGCCAAGGAGGGGCCTCAGGATTGCCATTGGCCCCCCGTACTCTCTCAGGACCCCCTCCTCCCCTCTCCCTCGTCCACTCTGCGCCAGCCACACCGACTTCCTCTGTGCCCGGAACACGCCAGGCCTGCCACCACCCCGGGGCCCTTGCACTTGCTCTCCTCTCCCTCTCTACGCCTGCGCGGCTCCCTCTCTCCCTGGTGCATGTCGCAAACCCCTGCACCCAGCGGACTGTGTGTTTGCTTCTTCGTCGTCTTTGCTGTCGGTCTCTTAGCCCAAAGACCGTGCTGTCTTTCCGAGTCAGTGTTCTCGCTGTCTTTGGATAAATACCTAGAAGCAGAATTGCTGGGTCCATGGCAGAAGGACCGCTGAGACTCTCACAAGGCTGACACGTGTACACACAGCTGCGCAGAAATGGCACCGACAGGACTGAATTTTGTGTCACTTAAGGACGCCTCATGGTGTGGGTTTTTGTTTTGGTTTTGGGGTTTTTTTTTGCCAGACCTGTGGAGGCACACCTGTCAGTGATCAATTCTTGTTGAATTTACCAAAAATAAATGAAGAAACGTGTCCGTGTTGGGGTCCCAAGCCTGTCGGACACCCCGAGCAGTGGTGAGCGGCAGCGTAAGGTGCTTAGCCGCTGGCCCACAGGTGTGCGGAGGGTCCTGAGTTCCATTTCATGCAGCAGTCAGAGAAACTGAGATCTAGAGGAGGGTCTCAGTGGCGGCCTGCCCAGGGCACACACTGAGCCGGGGCTGAGCCGGGGCTGAGCTGGGACACAGCCCCGACCACCGCCCTCTGCCTCGCCCACTCATTCATTCATTCACTCGCCCATGTCTTCACTCATGCGTTCCCACGGCAGTCACGGAGCACCCATGCTACTGTGACAAGTGCTACTATAGGGACAGAATGACACAGAGTCCCCGCCACTGCGGTGTCCGAGACCAGCTGTGCACAAGTACACTAATAAGCACAGCAACGGTGGCTCTCAGCAGAGGGGGTCGTTGGGGGGGGCTGCACGGCGGGAGGCAGCAGAGCCACAGCGTGAGGACGGAGGGAACGAGCTGTGGAGGAACCGAGAGGAGGGTGCTTCCGGCCGAATGAAGCGCCAGGGCACGGGCCGGGGGGTGGGTGTGAGGACAGAGGGCTGTTGCGACACGGTTGCGTGTAAGCGACTGGAGGGGGACCAGCCTCGGGGGTGGGGGGTTTGCACTTACTCCTGAGGCAGCAAGAAGCCCCCCTAGACTCCAAGATGCCAGCATTTCCTTTCCTGATGCCCCTGGACCCCTCGGTGTCCCCTTCTCACCATCTGCCTCCAGTACTACAGTGGAGGGCCACCCACTCCTGTCTCCCCTCCCCTTCACGGCCGTGGGGCCTTGCCTGTCCCTGGAGACACAGAGCCCCTGGGCCACGCCCAGCTCTGGGCTGCAGAGAGAAGCCAGCTCTTGGCAGGTTACCCTGGTCCGGCTAGGCTCTTCCTGCACAGGCCAGACACCCCTGGGTGTCCGGGGCTTTCCAGCAAGTGTCTCCTGCCCCCAGAAGAGGAAGCAGCGACTCCCACACACCCTGCCCCGTGGTCGCCAGCTGCTTGGTGACAGGCTCACAGGACTGCAGAGAAGCGCTCAGTGTCTGGGGGCTGGCATCTCGCAGACCCCAGGCCCGGAGGGTGGGGGAGAAACCTGGGAAGCTGCAGGGCAGGACCGAGGGCAGCGGGGGAGAGGGAGGGCCAGTCCTGCTGGGCACAGAGCCCAAGCCACCTGGCCTCAGCAGCCACCTGCGGGCAGTGCCAGATGGAGATGAATGGGGTGCGGCCCCTGCCCTCAGGGGCTCACCCGCCAGCAGGCCAGAGCCACACTGTCCGGACACTCCCCTTCAGTTAAGCAGACCCTGATGTATGCAGATACCCCTTTTTTTAAAGATTTTATATATTTATCTTTAGAGAGAGAGAAAGGAAGAAAGAAAGAGAGGGAGAGAAACATCAATGTGAAAGAGAAACATCCATCAGTTGCCTCTTGTATGTGCCCCGACTGGGCACTGAACACGCAACCCAGGCCGGTGCCCTGACCGGGGATTGAACCGGCGACCTTCCACTTTGCGGAACAACACCCAACCCACTGAGCCACACCAGCAAGGCCAGTAGGTAAACGCAGAGGAGTCACTACTGCACCTCTTACCTCACGCCATGCACAAAACTCCACCCCAGATGAGACCGGCAAACCGGAAAGGTTTCGGAGTGACTGGACTGGCCACCGCTCGCCCAGCACCGCCCGCGCGCTGCCGGCGTTCTGGGCGCTTTGCACACCTGCGCTCGCCCTCAGCCCCACGGCAGCCTGTGAGGCGCCGTGGCGGAAACACTCGTACTTCGCCGTGTATCGTGCACACCCATGTTTTTGGCCCAAACTTTCAGGAAAAAAAAAAATCTTCCATCTTAATTTTTTAATTCAATTTTTTATTTATCTATATTTAGAAATAAAACTGATTCTCGTGTCCCAGGGTATCGTTTTGCATATGGGTACCCTCATTTCTCCCTAGAATTACACTTTTAATGCACAGCATAAATAAGAATTAAAACATTTATATAGCTATGGAATCAGTACTACCCATGTATATAATGTGCCTTCTTATTCTTCCCTCAAACATTTGGGCAAAAAAGTACGCATTATACACAGCAGAATACGGTAATAAGAAAGGAGGAATCTCCAGGACCTCAAGGTATAACACCCACGTGGAAAGAAAAGAGTGATATGGTTGAATACTTTAAAGTCGGCAACTTCTGCTCATCAAAACACCCCACTCGGAGACTACAGAGGCAAACCACAGGACGGAGGAGACCGAGGGGCCCGTTCCCCAGTGAACTCATAAAGAACGCCTCCAGCCCAGAAGGAAAATAATCCGATCCACGCCGAGCGAGGGGCCTGAGCAGACGCCCCACCGAGGAGGACACGGAGATGGCCGTAAGCCCACGGAGAGATGCTCAGCGTCACCAGCCAGCGGGCACGCAGCCTGACCCCGGGACGAGCCACTGCGGCGCGCCCTCGAGAGCGGCGGAAAGAAAGGGCACCTTGTCCGGTGCCGGCGAGGGTGTGGAGCACCGGGACTGCCCCTCACTGCGGGCGGGGCTGGGGGGCACGCAGACCGGCGCCCCCACTCAGGGAAACGGTGTGACGTGACCTAGTGCAGGGGCAGCCGGTCGCCGCGCCTCAGATAAACACGGGCACCGGCACACGCGTGTGAGAGTGCTCCTGGCAGCATTCATCGTGACGGAACAACCCGAACGGGCGTCCACAGACCAAAAAAAAATAATAATAATAAGGATAAATAATCGTGGATTAGAAATGGAGCAAGACAACCATGAAAATGAAAAAGCTCCAGGTACACACTAAAGGGGATGCGTCTCTTCAAATCAATGACACGAAAGCGTACGAGGAGTACGTACGGTTCAAGGTATAGAAAAGTCAAAACGGGGGTAACACGAGACTCTGTCGTTTGGGGGTCCGTCCACAGGCGGTTCATTACTGAGAAAAGGGACTCCCTCGAATGGGGGCGGGGCAGGGAATCAGCAGAAGACACACAGCGGGCCTCCGAGGTCCTGGTTCTTGTCCTGTCCCCACCTCCTGCCCCCAAGGCCACAATGCTGGTGGCCATGACCCTGCCACCCCCAGAGGTTTGGCTTCCCTGCTTCTTTCCGTGGGGAGCGTGGGAAGCAGCTTTGCCCAGAGAAAGGCACCAAATGGGTCTGTGGGTCTATCCCACTTCCCTCCACACCCCGCACTGGCTCTGGCCCCACCCGCTCTGTGCTCCTGGCCTCAGTTTCCCCATCTGTGAATGGGGCATGGGCACCCCCCCATGCCTAGCTCGTAGCAGGATAACGAACACCGAGGAGCTCTGGCGGCTGAGGTCTGAATGCCAGAGATTGTCCAGGACGGGGAGGGACAGCCAGGCCCCTGCCAGGCTGTGGGACGTGAGTTCCAGCTCCAACCCTCAGAGCTGGCTGTCGCTGGGGTTCACTACACCGTCTCTCACCGGCCAATGGGCTGGGGCGACCCGGAACCGGTCACACACCCTGTTTCCTGTTTTCAAATGGGGAACTGAGGGGAGCCATGGGCTCTCGGCCGCTCCCCGGGAGCCAGGCTGGAGAGCTGGCGGGGGCCGTGTGACGCGACTAGTGGACCCCTGGACACCCTCAGCACAGACGCCTCAGGTCAGAGGTCAGTGTTTGACCCCAGGCTTAGTGGGCCTGAGCCCGTCCTTCTGCGATGCATGTAGCCTCTGTCGCTGTTGGGGGTAGGGCGGGACAGAGGAGAGTTGGTGACAGTGTCTGTACACAGGGAGGAGGGGTCTCCTTAGTGCCCTGGGGCAGAGCAGGGAGCAGCCCCTTGACCCTCGTGGCTTCAGTTCCTTTTGAAGCGGCTGACGCTTCCACCCCCTCTCCTGACCCTGGGGAAATCGCACCACACCTGTGCTTCTCAAGAGTGGTGCCAGGGAACCCCCGGATTTGTCCCCCCCCCCAGACCTGCTAGACTGAACTCTCTGGTGTTGGGAGCCAGAGAATCTGCTCTGTACCGGCCCCCGGCACTACCCCCTGACCCGAGAAAGTTCCGGGGCTCACTCACACGTGGGAGGGTGCCCTTCCAGGGTCCGGGACCCCTGGCTCCCAGGTCAGGCCCGGCCCGCTGGCGTCTTGCCCCCGATGGCCACCCCTCTGCCGCCCCTCCAAAGGCAACATGGGCGGTGAAGGTGGCCCTGGGTGGCCATCAGAAGGACTGGACGTGGCAGGGGCCCTTGGAGGGGGGAGGGACGCCAGGAGCACCGGGGAGGGAGCAGACCGACAGTGCAGGGGCTGGCCGGTGTCAGGGCTGGGAAGCTGTTCTGGGCCCTGGGCCAAGGTCGGGTACCCGGCCACCAGCAGTGGCGCCTGCCGTGTTCTGTTGCAAAGTCTAGAAATCTTTGCTACGCAGGCTGCGGAGAGCAGAGGGAGGGGCCACGAAACCCCACGTGTCGCTGCCCCCAAAGGGCATCTGCAGTGACAGGGCTGCTTCCCCCATCTCACAGATGAGGAAACCGAGGCCTCTCGAGGGACAGGAAGCCGCCTCACATGCCTCCCCGCTCCTCTGCACGGGTGACAGCCTGCCGGTCCCGCGAGAGGAAAGGCCGGGGCCTGGCTCTGGCCGCTGCACTGGGTTTTCATTCTGAAAATCAGACCGCTCAGCAGTCCCAGGACTCCACTAAGCGGCCCGGCCGGGGCCACCATTCCCGGGGTCTCAAAGGGTCTCTGGGCAAACGATACCCTGCTTCTGACCGGGCACCAGCTGGAAGGGCTGGGGCCACTGAGGCCAGGGACACCCGCCATCAGCCATAGTACAGACAAGCTAACCGCGGTGGGTGCCTAGGAGGGCCCACGGGAGACTCTGGGCCCCAAGAGTCCCAGCCGTCGGGGGTCTGTCAGATAAGAGAGCATGAGGACCACTCGCTCTCTGGCCTGGGCACCCCCCCAAATGCAGGGAGCCCGCCGCTAGCCGCCCATCATCTGTCAGCAGCACAGATCATTCGGTGGCGAAACCAAGGCCCGGAGACACTCGGTGACTTGCCTACGGACCCACCATCGGTCAGGATGGAGGCCCGACTCCTTGAGGGCAGATGAGAGATGAACGAGGTATGCAAGCCATGCCCCCGCTCCGTGCCTCAGTTTCCCATCCGTGTAAGGGGAACTGAGGGACCTGGATTCACCTGACGACTGCCCAGAGCCACCGGGGGCATGGCCCAGGGTTCCTTTCGCCCGACACAGAGAGAGCTGCCCCTGGGAACATGGGCCCCTGGCCCGAGCCGACCTCACCGCTCCCCTGGCCCGGCCGGACCCAGGAGGCCCTCGCCCCCTGGCATGGGGGTGGGCTCTGGCCACAGTTGGGGACGCTGCTGGGGCTGTCCCAGTACAGGGGCACAGCCGCAGGCCTGGAATCTGAAAGAGCAGAGTTCAAGTCCCATCTCCAGTCCTGCGACCCACCTGCAGCCCCTTCAGTTCCTGTGAAAGGGGGGTCAAGGTCGCCCACACCCTTCTCGTGGGAATTCCTGCTAATGTTCTAGTTGTCCCTTTTTCTGATTTGTCTCAGATGCTTAAAATTCTACTGCGGTGTATACCTCGCCTTAGAGTCATTTCCTCCTCAATGATTTCCTGGAGCACCTGTCACAGGTGCGGGAAGAAGAGGAGGGACGATGACACCGTGCGGGGGGTGGGGGGGGGGGCCTGAGCTGACAGTTGCTCCACACGGACACCAGCCTCAGGAGTGGGGGGGCTCTGTCCGACCACCCCTTCAGTAGGAAACTGAGGCACGTGCGGGAACTTGCCAGGCACCGGTTTATGTCATCTGCCACCAAGGTCACAGACAGCCACTGCGTGAGCTGGCCCCTGGGGCTCCGGCCACCCACTCTCCCCCGAACAGGGGGAGAGGATTCTGAAGTCAGACCAGTCCAGCTCCTGGTCGTGGTCAGGTCGCAGTCTCAGTTCCTTCATCATAAGACGGGGATTCAACCTTTTCACAAAGACGGCGCCCAAGGCAAAGAAGGAAGCCCTTGCCCCTCCCAAAGCCAAAGCCAAAGCCAAAGCAAAGCAATTGGTGCTGAAAGGTGTCCACAACTACAAAAAAAAAAGAAGAAGAAGATCCACACATCACCCAACTTCCAACAGCCAAAGACGCTGCGGCTCCATAGGCAGCCTAAACTTGGAGGGGCGCCCCCGGGAGAAACGAGCTTGACCTCTGCGCCATCACCCCTGACTACCAAGTCAGCCATGGGGAAGATAGAGGACAGCCACGCACCCGGGTTCCTTGTGGAGGTCAAGGCCGACAAGCAGCAGATCAAACAGGCTGGGAAGAAGCTCCATGATGTTGACGTGGCCAAGGTCAACACCCCGATCAGGCCTGGTGGGGAGAAGGAGCCGGTGTCTGACCGGCTCCCCCTGAGGACGCTGTGGACGCTGCCAACAAAGCTGGGGTCGTCCAAGCTGCGTCCAGCTGGCTGATCCTAAATATAAACATTTTGCCCTGGCTGGCGTAGCTCAGTGGATTGAGCTCGGGCTGCAAACCAAAGCATCGCAGGTTCAATTCCAAGTCAGGGCACATGCCTGGGTTGCAGGCCATGACCCTCAGTAACCGCACATTCATGTTTCTCTCTCTCTCTTTCTCTCTCCCTTCCCTCTCTAAAAATAAATAAAAATAAAATCTTTAAAAAAACAGCTACAGAAATTTTTTAAAAAGAAGTGGTCAGTACACATTTGCTTAGCAATAGAGAGGGACAGACGGGAAAGACAGACAGGTGCCAGGATCTCCGCCCTGGACGCTGAGAGTTCATTCACAAATGTCACAGCGAACGACGCAGTGGGCACGTCAGTACCTTTCTCCCCGCTCATCACTGAAGCCGTTGCCTCTGCTTGAAGTCACCTCATTTAAAATTCACAGCAGCTCGGCAACGTAAGGATCCTCACAAGAAGCAAGGGTCCGCTCAGCCCTGGACTGATCAGTCCGGCGAAGGGCCAGGCGCCCGTTCAGAATGAGGCGGTTGGGCAGACAGCCAGGTGGTCAGTGGAGGGCTCCGCCGTGGGGACTCTGGCACCAGGAGCCCCACCAGAAGTGGACACTCACTGCCTCTCTTGTCCCCCCAGGCAGCCTGCAGCATGGCCAGTGCCAAGCACCCCGGGAGCCCCGGATGGACAGGACGCATGGCCCGGAGCCCAGCAGGGGCCAAGCAGGAAGCGACAGCCAGTGGCCCGGACCTCCCCTCTCCAGGACCTGAAGAGGACTCAGGTGAACTTGAGGCATGGGGCTTGGCCAGGGGGACAGAGGTGTGCAGGCATTGGTAGTGCACGTGCCGGCCCTCCAGCAGGTGCCACCAGACAACGGGGCGGCTCCCTTAGCTCGGGCTATCCCGCAGTCAGCACCCAGACAGGGACTTCGTGTGGGTGGCTTATCTGCCAGATGACACAGTGGGAAGAGCAGGGCAGTGGGGAGAGGAAGGAAGGGCAGGGAGCCACCTGGGGGGGCGGTTGATGGACAGATTACTGAGTGACTGGGGGTCCTCTGGGAGCCTGTGTGGGGCATCTCTCAGAGCCGCCCCTCCGAGGAGCGAGGAGGCGGGGCTAAGACCCACCTGGCCCACCCTTCACGGCTGAGGGACTTTGCACACCAAGCCGCTGCAAAGCCCTGCAGGCTGGAGTCCTCGGAAACCGGTGGGGTGGTCCCCAACAGTGACACCAAAGCGTCAGCTACAGTGCCCTCTCCTGGAGCCAGTCTCTGCCCGCGGGTGTCAGTTGGGACGCAGCGATGAGGAGGGCGGTGCTGGGGGTGGAAGGGGCGGCGTGAGCGAGAAAAAGCATGGCGTGCAGGCAATGAGGGGAGAGGGTCGGGAGGGCCCAGCCAGGCTGAGCCCGAAGCCCATCCATCATCCTCCCGGTCCCCAGTCCCCATTCCCACCCACTGACCTGTACTCAGGAGGCCGGCGACAACCGACAACCAGAGTCAGTGGTGCAGGTAGTGCAGAGATGGGCAGGCCACGGTCAGTGCCAGTCTGGGGTTCCACAGTGGCCGACCCGCCGGTCAGGAGTGCAAAATGCAGCCCTCCCTGCACCTCACACCGAAACCGCATGGGGAAGACGGGCTAGCTCAGGCCGCCTGCGGCAGGGTGGGTTCAGCCAGGTGGGCACGGGGTCGGGCTGATGCCCGGCCGGACCTGTTCTTGGTGGGATGGGGGCGGGGGGAGTCACAGCTCCTCTGGGAATCCGATGCCCCACCCCGGACAGACCCAGCCATCTCCCCAGGCCCGGGCCCCCCGGCGCGCCGCCCTCCCTGGCACCGGTCCTCACGGGGGCTGTTCCGGCAGACGCCGACGGCAGCCCGAGCCCCAACTCCAGCATGACCACGCGGGAGCTGCAGGAGTACTGGAGGAACGAGAAGGGCTGCTGGAAGCCCGTCAAGCTGCTCTTCGAGATCGCCTCGGCCCGCATCGAGGAGAGAAAGTTCTGCAAGTTTGTGGTAGGCACCGCCTCCGCCCCTGGCCCCGCCCCTGCCCCTGCCCCTGGCCCTGCCCCTGCCCCCGCCCCTGCCCCTGCCCCTGCCCAAGCCGGCTCTGCGGTGCCTCAGCTTCCCCAGCTGTGGACTGGGTTCACACACTTGAACTTGCAGAGTTCCTCTGGGGGAAACGGCGCAAAAGCAAGATGTCACACTCGCTGCCGTGCTAGCCGCCGTGAGGACGGGCGGTATCGGAGTCCCAGTCCCCGGAGCTAGCCGTTAATCCCAGGGGTTAGTCACCCGTGTCCCACCGCCGTTTTCACCACACCCAGTGTCATTTATATTACTATTTGCCTAATGCTTCCTTTTAAATTGGACCACTTAAAAAAATCACTGAACAAACTCATTTCTAAGAAAGCCACCTTAGAGGGAAAACCAGCACCATGCGGCCTAAACAAAAAGTAACTAAACGTAAGTCCAAGGAAAGCTATGAACAGCTGCTCAGGTGCAGCCGGCTGCCGGGGGGAACGCCGGTGCGTGGGGCTGTGCTCCTGGTGAAAGTGCAACTTCAGCCTGCGGGGGAGGGGGGGCATCCATGACCGTGGCAGAGCCACGCTCCACCTTTCTCGGGACTGGAGTTCTAAGGACAGCTGACACTGCGCGCGGACCGCCAGCCGGGTTCAGTGCCTCCACTCACTGCATCCTCACCACAGCCAGGCCCCCAGAGGTCCCCTCAGCTGCCCCAGACCACACAGCTAGGCCGCAGGGAGGTGGGGTGGGCGTGACACCGCAGGTGGTCTGCCCCCGTCGTCAGAATCCTCTGGAGAGAGAACTAGAGGGGACTGATGGTCTTGCTGTGCACAGCCTTGCTGCCAGGGTAGCCGCTGAAACCACCTCCACGGGTGGGGCGCCTGGGGACACAGATGGAACCCGAGCTTCCCCTCCCGGCTCGGGAGACCCAGTGTAGACCCCCTGCCTGGCCCGCTCCTGTGCCCTTTCTCCCCTCCCCCACCCCGGATGCCTCCGCGTCGCTGTGCTTGTTACTCTCGGGCTGACTCTGGTCACGATCCACCTGTACAGCTCCGCCGATCCCCGTGGCAATTTAAAACAGAGTCACGCATGAGAACGGCCAGTCCTGGGGGCGGGCTTTGAATTAGGGTCATTATTTTCATTGGCCGGGCTCGCTGTCAGTGCAAACCCTGCGTCGGGACGTCCTCACAGGCCGCTGCTTCTCCCCTCGCAGATGTACCAGGTCGTGGTCATCCAGACCGGGAGCTTCGACAGCAACAAAGCCGTCCTGGGGCGGCGCTACTCGGACTTCCAGGCGCTCCAGAAAAGCCTCCTCAAGACCTTCCCGGAGGAGATCGAAGACGTGCCCTTCCCCAGGAAGCACCTGGTGGGGAACTTCACGCAGGAGATGATCCTGGAGCGCAAGCTGGCCTTCAAGGAGTACCTGAGCCTGCTCTACTCCATCCGCTGCGTGCGCAGGTCCCGCGAGTTCATCGACTTCCTGACGCGGCCCGAGCTGAAGGAGGCCTTCGGCTGCCTGCGGGCGGGGCAGTACACCAAGGCCCTGGACATCCTGCTGCACGTGGTGCCCCTGCAGCAGAAGCTGACGGGGCACTGGCCCGTGGCCGTGGTGCCCGTCCTCTGCGCCATGCTGGTGTGCCACCGGGAGCTCGAGCGCCCCCTGGAGGCCTTCGCGGCCGGCGAGCAGGCCCTGGAGCGCCTGCACGCCCGGGAGGGGCACCGCTACTACGCGCCGCTGCTGGACGCCATGATCCGCCTGGCCTACGCGCTGGGCAAGGACTTCGTGTCGCTGCAGGAGAGACTGGAGGACTGCCAGCTCCGGAGGCCCTCCGCCCGGGGCTTCACCCTGAAGGAACTGGCCGTGCGGGAATATCTGTGACGCGCGGCTCTGGCAAGACCGCTGCAGATCTGAGACCGCCGTGTGCGCGGCGCCTTTGGATGGGGGGAGAGCCACGTGGGGCCGCTGGGGGGTCGCACTTGCTGGGCGCCCTTGGGCAAGCCCCTCCTCTGGTCCTCCATTTGCCCATCTGTGTTGAGTTGAGGTTCTCCTGGACGTCCTTAGCAGCCTCTGATGCGTGTGCCCTGTGTCCCTTAGAGGTCAGGCTCACTTTATCAAAACCACCAGCCCAGCAGGGGGACCCGGGACAGGAGGCTCCGCCTCTCGGACACTCCCGTCGGTAGCGGGAGCGGAGGTTTCCGCCGCACGCGGCGGGGGTAGCGCCACCCATTTCTGCTCCTGCGTCTTTTCTGTCTCTCCTTCTCCTCCAAGCTGCTACCTCGGCAAATAGCAAACATTCCCACCCATTTTCCTAAGCATTCTGGTCTTCCTTCTTAGTGTCTGAGCCCAATTCAGCAAACAAAAGGTGGATTGAATGCTCAGCACCTCCCCATCCGAGGCACAACCTTCTTGGAGGTTCTCTCGCGGATTCGTGTGACCCCCAACTGAAGTCTGCTGCCAGGAAAGGACACCAAGGGCCCCAAAGTGGAGTGGAGTGTGGACCAGCGCCCTGGGTTCGACACTGGACCTGAAGCGGATGGCACAGCTGGTGTGGGCCCAGGACGTGTCTGAGGCTGGGGCTTCCTGAGGCTCTAAACCGTCTGGCCGAGCTTAGCAGGGCGAGCTACGGAGGCTGGGACCCAGGAGCCTTCATGTGGGGCGCCGCGCTGGCCAGGGCAGGAAGCTGGCTCGGCAAAGGGGTCCCTGAGCCGTGGACAAGCATTCGCTGAGCCGCACCAGGAGGCGCTTCAACAGCGACACCATGAGGCGACACCCTCAGTGGCCCAGCCAGGCTCTGTCCGGAAGGCAAGAAACTCCATGATACTTGGGAGCAAAGGAAGCCTTCACGCCTCTCCACCTGCTCCAGGGGAGGAGGGGCACTTCGGGTGGGGAGGTGCTGGGCTTCCTTGAAAATTAAAGCGTTAGAGGCGAAAACAAAAGCCCCGCAACTCTCTTTGTTGCGGTGCGGCACACTGATTCTACAGGTTATTTTTCATCAAAGAGACAGCCCCGTCACCTATGAGGGACCCCCAGTGCTCACTAAGAAAGAGAAAAATGCCCAGCCGAGGTGGAGGGGGAGTTTAGTAGGAGATTCGGGCAGCGAGCTGGGCAAGCAAAGAGTCCCGGATGTAAGGGTCCACGTGGCATCTGCCCGCTGGGTGCGGAGGGACAGGGAGGAAACGCGTGCGTCCACCTGGGCACCAGGTGGAGGGCAGGGAATCTTCTAGAATTTGAACTGCAAGGTGTGGGATCTGATCGCACACAGCGTGGCCAAAATACTTCCACGGAGAGGTCGTGGCAAAGTGGTCCCAGCTGGAGGCCGGCCAGCTCCCTGAACGAAGTGACCCTCGAGCCGGGCCGGCTGAGAGAGAGGATGCCACTGAGTCCAGAGGTGTCAGATGTGGGGGTAACGTGCACCCCGACATCACACGTACACGGTGATTTGCGGGGTGGACAGAATGTCTTATAAGCCCGCATGGGGTAGGAGGGACCTGCAGCGTCTGTTCAGGGTGCTCCCCACTAGGAACCCTAGTGCAGGGCTGGCTCCCCACCCCGTGCATGGGGTACACCAAGGGTGGCTTCAGGGTCCCGCCGTGCCTCTTCCTGGTGACAGTCGTCGCTGCCCTCCCAGGTCTTTGACACCTGGGAAGTGTCTGATGGCACTCCTGGCCACACACGGTCTGTCTGCCCCCTTTCCAGGGTGTCCGGGGGCCTGGGGTGACCGGAACAGCCATCTCCCCGCCCCCCCCCCCCGGCATCTCCCTTTAGCTGCAGCAGTCAGAGGCCCCCTCGCTTCCTGGGTCCCGGAGCAAGTCCTTCAACTCCTCACAGTCCCTCCTCCCGGAAGCCTCCCCCACGGCCCACTGCAACCCCGGGCCGGGGAGCAGAAGCCTCGGCACCACCCGGAGGTGATTAGAAATGCCGAGTTCCAGGCTCCACCCCGACCTGCTGACTCAGGAACTGCGTGCTCCCATGTGGCTCTTCCACAGGCAGTTCCTGTCTGCGCAGGGTAACACTGGAGATGAGGTACCCCGCAGGGGCCTGGAGGAGTAGCGTCCCCAAGGCCTGGGCTGTCCGCTGGCCCGTTCCTCCCCTGCCCGTCTCCTCAGCCTGGGCTTCTGCCACACACCTGCCGGCTCAGGGCCCGGGGGCTGCAGGGGTAACACCAGGCCAGCTCACCCACACCTGGCAACCGCCCTGGACATGCTCCCCAGAGGCTGGGGGGCCCGTCAAATAACAGCCTGCTCCAGCAGCACCCCCTTGCTGCTCTGTGGTCCCCCTGGACAGGATGCCCCATGAGACCTGTGTCTGGGATGCTGGCAGGCGAACTCCCCACTGCCCCGGGCCAAGACAGGGACACAGCCTATCAGTGACCGCCCAGCACCGTTGGAGCCCTACTATGCGTCCGGGATTCCCTCATCACCACCCATCCAGCTCTGCTCAGGAGATGTCCTTCTCCCCTTTAACAGACTGGACACAGAAAACCTGAGAGGTTAAGTGACTTGCCCAAGGTCACACCACCAACAACAGACCGAGCAAGAAATTTGGCACAGGACTGAATTGCCCCACACTGGGGGAGCAGGGGGTAGGGGTAGGGGGTGGGAGGGTCCCTGGCCCTCTCACCCTTAGGCACCCTTGAAGGTCATCTCACTCATGTCTGCTTACAGGTGGGGAAACTGAGGCCTGGAGCGGGGACCCACTCAGGGTCACACAGTGAGACAGGGCAGCCCCAGGGCCACAGCTGGGTGTCCACATCAGAGCAATAGGATGCAATAAGCCTGGGCTAGAACTCTGAGGGCCCAGCCAGACTTGGGGCGCAGGGTCGGAGCTGATGCTGGGTCAGAGGCTGGTAGCCCGCCTGCCAGGACGCCCTCTTCAGGGTGGACTCCGGCCCCCTACCCCTTACCCCGCTCTCTTCATGCCCTCATCCCCGAGCTGTGCTGCCCTAGCTCTGTGCCCCACCCCCAGCTGCAACTCTGCCTGGGAGCAGCAAAGCCAGCTCCCTCTCCACCTGCTGGGGGAGGGAGGCTCCCGCTGTCCCCAGGTCCCCAGCCCCCTCTCCTGGGCTCCTCCCGACACTTCCTGTCCTTCCTGCCACAACTACAAAGGGCTGCCTTCCGGAACCCTCCCCCCCCACCCTCCCTCCGGCTCAGTCCCTCTCCTCCCTCCCAGCCAACAATGCCACCAGAGCTCCACCAGCCCCTGGCCTTTCCCTCCCGGCCGGCCGCCTCCTTTGTCTGATGGAAACTTCCTGTTATTCCCCGAATGGAAAGTCAGAGTCACTTGCCGCAATTAGAAAGCAGCTACAAAAATAAACAACACAGAGACACCTCACAGGCCTTTGTCTGAGACAGGCCTGGGCCGGAGCCTGCGGAGGGGAGGGCCTCACTCAGAGACAGGGGCAGAGACAAGTGACAGAGGCTGGGTGTCACCAAGCGGAGGCCTGCACTTTGATTTTCTTCTCAGGGGGACTGGACAGCACTGAAAGGAAGCTCCTGGCACGTAGCCTGGGTCATCCGGTGTCTGCCCTCCATCCCTGACCATCTGGGGGCTCCCTCCCTGCCCTTGGCCCCGGCCTCGGCCCCCATCCCCAAGCCCTGCCTGTTCTCCAGCACCTGGGCTCCGGCTTTGACGGACATCCTTGGTTTTCCATGCCCACCTGGGAGATGGTACCCAGGTGGCAGCTCCGAAGGCCTGTGGTTGTGACATGGAGCAGACACCTTACCTGATAGCAGGTAAGACCCCAAACAGAAAATGGGAACCCATCTAGGCTCATTTTCATGTTCTTACTTAGCAAGCAAGGAATAATGACATTCCCACTGGGCGCCAGCCCCTACAAAGAGCTGAGGACACAGCAGCGAACAGACAGACCCGGCCCCTGCACTCACTGAGGTGCCACGGGAGAAGGCAGCCACTCCCAGAGCAGACAGGGGCTGGCACAGGATGGCCTCCCTCAGCCAGATGGTCAGGGAGGGCTTCTCGGAGGAGGAGGCATTTAAGGGGAGGCTCAGGAGATGGCCATAGCAGCAGGAAGAGGGGAGGATTTTAGGCAGAGGGAAGGCAGGAACACAACCCTGAGGCAGGGACCTCCTCCATCCCTGGGGACCCCAGGAGGCAGCCCCGCCCTGGCCATGCCCGCTGAGAGCAACATGCCAGGTGCCGACAGAGAGACGCCTGGCGAGCCCCATCTGCGCCACCCCCTTCTCCAGTAACAGGCTCAAAGGGCACCAGCTGGGGAGCCTGCGTTTAGGGCACACAGACCCTGTTGGTGTCTGGTGACAGGGAGCCAGGTTAATCTGACAAGGGGGGGCTTGGTTATCAGAAAAGTCCAGACACAGACTGGCCTGAAGCCGAGCTGGATCCAAAGACTCAAACCCGGTCACCCACTCTCTCTCCCTCACTTTCGCTTTCTCCGTATCACTTCTGCTTTCCTCGGCTCTGCCTTCTCTTGCCTCCTGGTCACAAGATGGCTGCAGCAGCTCCAGGAGTGCACGCTCCCTTCTCTGCAACCCCAGAGGACCCCCTCCAGGGTTCTCATGAAGCTTTCAACTGTAGGAAATGCAGGGAGCACCCACATGCCCCTTCCTGAGGAGCCTGGACAGGGCAGCCCCCGCCCCAGAGTGCAGCAGCCATGATTGCTCATCCAGTCTGCAATGGATGTAGGTCTTATCTTGTTTTGTAATTGGCTTCGTACACGTAATAGACTTTAGCTTTTAGAGCAGTTTTAGGTTCACAGAAAAATTAAGAAAAAGGTACAGAGATTTCCCACTCACCCCTCCCCCAAAACATGCATAGCCTCCCCCATTATCAAGGTCACCCACAGAGCATGCATTTGAGGAAACTGCACCCACACAATGCTACCACCCAGAGTCCGCAGTTTACACAAGGGCTCACCCGTGGTGTTCACACCCTGAGGGGTTTCAGGGGTGTCCAACCTGCGTCCTGCAGACCACAGGCAGCCCAGGGTGGCTGTGAACATGGCCCAACACAAAATCACAAGTTTGCTTAACACACGATGAGATTTTTTTGGTGATTACCTGTCACAATGTATTTAATGTGTGGCCCAAGACAATCTTCTTCTTCCATTGTGGCCCAGAGATGACAAAAGGTCAGGCCTCCCTGGTCAATAACCACCCACCATTAAGCCACATCAGAGCATTAAAAATTAAAGTATGATAGCCCCGGCTGGCGTAGCTCAGTGAATTGAGCGCGGGCTGCGAACCAAAGTGTCGCAGGTTCGATTCCCAGCCAGGGCACATGCCTAGGTTGCAGGCCATGACCCCCAGCAACCGCACATTGATGTTTCTCTCTCTCTCTCTCTCTCCCTCCCTTCCCTCTCTAAAAATAAATAAAATAAAATCTTTTAAAAAAGAAAATAAAGGAATGCTTTATAAAAAATTAAAGTATGATTAGATTTTATCGATACGTCATGAGCATGTCCCTGTAACACATAGTATTCCTCTGTGCTACTGTTACTGCTTTGATTGTATCCTCAGGAATGAGCCCGAGGTGTTCTAACCACCTTGGAATGAACCAAGTTTTCCTTCTTTCAGGCGAGAAAGCAGTGAACGCCTTGACCAATGAATGTCTTTTTGGACCCGTGCACTCCGAAGTGATTCCCATTGGTGATTTGCTGACTCGCCGCCAACGCGTTAATGATTTCGATAATAGTCATTTCTCTCTCTCCCGGGGGGCTGTTGGAACGAATCCACCAGCGGAGTGGGAGTTGGCCATTCACTCCAAACATCTCATTAACACTGGATGTCCGCATTTTACAACTAGTTTCCATGTGACAGGTAAGAAGTGGTATCCGTGGTTTAATGTGCATGTCCTCCTTCCTACTGAGTATGAGCATTGTTGCGGGCTTCCTGGTCACCTCCGTCGTTGTAACGATGTTTCCTTTTCCCCTTCCACCGGGCACTTTGTTTCCTTTTCCCCTTCCACCGGGCACTTCTGGAGGCAGGCAGCGCCCAGCGAGGGCCGAGCCCTGCAGTTTAAAAAGCAACCAGCAGGTGGCGCTGCCGCACCGGAGGCTCAGAAAGCATCTCTGGCTGCGGCCGGAGCCAAGGAATGAACCGGGAGGGGAATTGAGCATTTCCCGAAAAAGAAAAAGAAGAAATGCTTTGGAAAGCCGTTCAAAGGGGCTTGAAATAATGCTAGAGTTTTTAACAAACAAGTGCTTTGCTGGGAAAGTGCTGATGCTTCGCTGCCTCCTTAGCCGACCCCCCACCCCGCCCCCACCAGTGTTGGTTGGGGCCCCAGGGCGCTCCCTACTTGGGGTTCGGGGCCTCACCTCCTTAGCTTCTGCAAAGCCCCAGAAACCCCCGCAGAGGCCTCCCACTGCCGGCCTTCCACCTCCTCGGCCTATCAGAAAGAAGTCAGGGAACCCGCAAATCCTAACAAAATAGGGCGCTTTAAAAAATAGTCACGGGGGCGCAGGGCCTCCCGCCGGGTGACCAGCTGGCTCCTGGACAGGGGCTTGATTAGACCTCCCTCATTGTGGCCAGAGGTCCTTTTCCCAAGGGAGGGGCTAGGCACCCCCAGGACCCCACCACACGGCTCCCTACACCTCACCCCGCCCCAACTTTTGAGGCCCCAGAGGGCGCTGAGGGCTTCCCATCCGTCTGCCTACTGGACTGGGGGAGGGGAGAGGACTTCCTTTCACCAGTCCCTACCCTGGGTCCCGTCCCTACCCTGGGCCCAGTCCCTGCCGAGGGTAAACCTGGGGCTGGAGGAGGGAGAGTGGATGGGAGGGAAAAGAGCAGAGAAACATTCCCCGCTTGTTCCAGTGTGAATTGGTCCAGCCGCTTGGGAGAACCACTGGGCACCGTCTCCTAAAGCTGGGCATGGACTCTGTGAAGACCCAGCCCTCCCACTCTTGGGAATGCAGCCCGCAGACAGACAGACAGACAGATGTTCACCGAAAAGCCGGAACCAGAATTTCAGAGCAGGCCTACTGCCAACGATAACCCCCGACCGGAGCCAACCCAGGTGCCCGCCAACAGGAAAACGGGTCAGTACGTTGCAGTAGACTCACACGTGGGAATGTTGCGCAGCCGTGGGGACCAAGGCACTTTCGCACCATGAAGTGGGTGAATCTCAAAAGCTGGGTTAGGCGAAGGAATCCAGGCACTGGAAGAACAGCTTGGGCCCCGACCGGGGTAGCTCAGACGGCTAGAGCTTCGTCCGGGTTTCAGGGTCGGTACCCAGTCGGGGCACATACGAGAATACGCCAGTGAATGCGTAAGGACGTAGCACCACAGCCCTCTCTCTCTCTTCCCCTCTCTCTCTAAAATCACGCAATCAGTTAATAAAGTACAGCCTGTATAATTCCAACTTAATGTTGTTGGACAAGGGGAGAAACTCACTGACAGTGGTTAAGGATGCTTACTCAGACGGCAAGGGGGAAAAGACAGAAAGGGTCACTAGGACATCCAGGTGCCGGCTATTACCTCTGGAAGAGGGAGGGGCTTTGGTGGGAGGGACAGTGAGGAGTCTCCAGGACCTGGAGGTGTGCTAGTCTTGGTCCTGAGTGATGGCTATAAGGACGTTTGTTATTGCAATAATGTGTTAAGTTATACACGTACATTTTAGGCACTCTTCTGTGTGTGGCACGCTTCACAATGAAAGTATTTGAATAAAAGAATAAACGGATACAGCAGAGATGAACTTGATACTTATTATGCACCAAGTACTGGGGCACTCAGATTTTGAACCGGCGGCCTCTGCTCCCAGCCGGTACTGCCTCGTGGTGCTAAATCATTGCAGGGACTTGGGTGGGGGTGGTGGGAGGGGCAGTGGTTACATGAACGTCAGGCTGCAGGCGAGTGAACAGTGGAGACCAAGACACGTCACCCCCCCCCCCCGCCCCGAGCGTGGTGTGCTGACACTGAGGCCCCAGGAGCAACTCCTGAAAGGCGGACGCTGGACTAGCACCAGCTGCCGGGGCAGGGAGAGCCTCGCAGGTGCGGGTTAAAATGAACATGTAGCAAACTGTCGGGCGGCCTCAGTTCTTCGTCCCTCCCAGGTGCCTTCTGCCACGCGACGTTGCACTTCCTGTCACCATGGAGGCAAGGCCAGTCTCCCCACTCCTCGCATCTGGGCCGTCCTGGATGCCTGGCCAGCAGGATGTGGCAGAAGGGACAGTGTGTGGGTGGGGGAGATGTCTCAAGGTCACAGAACACTGGAGTACAAGGGCTGACACTTGAACTCAGACCTCCGGCCTCCCACCCCTGGGCTTGCTCTTCGGTTCCTAGAATTCAGGTACTAAAACACCCCTTCTGAAAGGAAGGCGTACACCCGATTTTTTAAAACAGCTACAGGGTCGGGTAGAAGGGAGGCCTGCTTGAGTGTGGTTGGCAGGGCAATAATATGGGTGTCATACTTTATAGTTTTAATGGGAACATTTCACCTAAAATCTCATATGGCTGCTTGAGTGTGATATTGTTATGTTCACGAGTCCATGCTTATGATTTTGTAATAAAAGATTTTGTCATCAAAACAGGGGGTGTTATCTGTACCAGACCCTGTATTTTAAAAATGGTGCACTTGGCATCTCATTTAGTCACTAAGAATTGTTCAGTCATCAAATGTCACGGTCCTATTTATCACTTTGTCATTTTAGCTTGGGGTCCACTGGGACCCTGGGATCTTCTCCCTTGACTCCGCCCCTGTCCGCCAGCGCACGGCCTTTGTGCAGCCAGCTCCCCGCAGAGCAGCTGCCCCGGGAGCCTTCCCCAGTGTCTTTACAACCTCCTGGGAGGAGGGACAGGCTGCAGGTGCCTGCACATGGGATAACAGGCTCCAGAATATTCCCCAGGCCCACGGGCAGCCAGAGAGGCCAAGGAAGGGGCTAGGAGTCATGCATTTGCTGTTTCTGGGTTTGCCCTCCTGGCTCCTTCTGCAAACAGCATCTGGTTATTGTCCTGTGAGAAGTGACCCCTCTGTGGTCCTCTGCCCATGTGCTTGGGATGGGCTGGGCACTGGCTGCCCTGGAACCCGCTCCTCCACTCATTGAGCCTCGGGCTCTCTTCAGGGAAGTTCTACTAGTTTCTCAAGGATGCCGTAACCAATGATCACCAGCTGGGTGGCTCAGAACAACAGAAATGTGCCCTGGCTGGTGTGGCTCAGTGGACTGAGTGCCAGCCTATGAACTGAAAAGTCGCTGGTTCGATTCCCAGTCAGGGCACATGCCTGGGTTGTGAGTCAGGTCCCCAGTTGGGTACGTGTGAGAGGCAGCCAATCAATGTGTCTCTCCCTTCCCCTCTCCCTTCCCCTCTCTCTAAACATAAATAAATAAAATCTTTAAAAAGATAAAAAAAACAGAAGCATATTCTCTCACTGTGTCAGCTGGGCTACGCACGACCCCTCTGAGGTTCCCAGAAAGCACCTGTCCCGTGCTTCTCTCCCGGCTTCTGGTGGCCTCTAGCAGCCCTGGCTTGTTTGGGGTTTATAAATGCAGCTCTCCCATCTCTGCCTCTGTCCGTGAGTGGCTTCTCCCCTCGGTAGTGTCTGTGTCCAAGTTCCCCTCGTCTTACAAGGACACCTGGGCCCATCCCAACCCAGCGTGACCTCATCTCCAGGTGACCACGTCTGCAAAGACCCTGAACCCAGCCCGTGACTCGTGCATGACTCCTGGCCAATCCCAGTCTGGGCCGCCGATCCTCCCTCACCCACCCGGAAACCCCGGCCACCACGTCCCCTGGAGATGCCTGCCCACCCTCGGGGCTGCCCGGCCCCCTGGCAAACCCAGGTGGCAGGCGAATCCCGAGCCATCCCCGACAGGCAGGCCTGCAGCCCGAGAACCGCGCTTCTGCTCTGAACGCGGCCCCGGACGGCTCCCCACCTTGCGCTCGCTCGGCAAACCTTCAGCAGCTGTTTTAAAAACTCGTCCTCCTTTTGCTGTGATCAAAGGACCAGCTTGTTCCCCTGACAGGCGACAAAAGAAGTCAGAGAGACTCGGGAGAGAGAGTGGTTGGCCGCCCCCTTCCTTTCTGCTGGAGGAGGGAGGATCGCAGGGCGCCTTCTGATGGGTGGCCTTTAGGATCTGGGGCGGGGAGGATGCAGAGATAAGGGCAGAGGCTAGGCTCGGGGGTGGAGAAGGGGACACCGAGCAGGCTGATACTTGGGCGCCAGTAGCCGACAGGGGTGGGGCGGGCCTCGTAGCGTGCGTTTCCCCTTTTTCTGGGCAGAACGCCCTGTTTCACTTTAGGGTGACCACCCTCCCTCCACCCTTCTCTGGTTCAGGGGTGCTGACCGCAGCCCCAGGCAAGGGCTGGGTGTATGACTCTGAGCTGGCAGAGTGGAATTGGGTGGGGATTCTCCTGGCCCAGCGATTGGTTGCAAGGTGGGCACGTGGGCCAATCAGAACCGCCCAGAAGCAATCCTGGGGCTCTGACTGGACCCAGCCCAAATGGGGGGAGAAATGCACAGATGCTGAGTCCTGGTGACCTTACGCTCCTGGATAGAACTGCACCTAAACACGGCAGCAATAAACTCCCTTTTTTTTTTTTCTGCTTAACATATTGATTTGAGGTTGTTCTCTCATCGTGACAAGACATGGCCATTTCATGGTCACCTCTTACCATCTGGACTCATGTCTTCGGGCACCTCCCTTGCTACAGGGCCCCCAAGGACCGGGCAAGTACAAGTTCCTCCATTCACATGTTTCTAGGCACAATTTCAACACCTTTTGGGCTTATCACACTGCCATTGCAGGGGCCTCTGTGAGAGGCACGAGTCTGGCGGGGAAACTGAGGCTCACTCAAGTGGGACGGTCACACCTCTGGGTTGTCTCCGTGTGGACATCTTTTCTCCCGAGAGAGAGAGTCCAGAGGAATGGGTCAAAAGTCTTCACAACCCGGGGGCTCCCGTAACCTGTCTCACTCTCCTTGAACTTGGCAGTCCCATTGTACAGGTTCAGGGACTGAGGCAGCAGGGACGAGGGACATCTGACACTGCTACCCTCATCTCCTTTTCTTGACACACACTCAGCACTTAGCTTTCCACCTCGCCTCTAGGAGAGAGGGAGACAGAGCACTGACAACACTGATTGGACTCCTGGATCCAGCTGTGCCTGAAGGTCCTCTTTTAAGTGTAAGCCCAGTTGTGCTGGGATTCTGCCACTTCATCAACCAAAAAGGTCCTGATTATATGACTGCCTCCAAATCTCTGAGGTGCTCTGAGTCACGGACAAAGGGAAGAGCTGTACCCAGTCAGCCCCAGAGGCCGGGGAGTAAAGGCCTGTCACAGGCAGCTAGGGCATTTCATGAATCTTCCCAGGTATCCAGCCTCTTACCCCTGGGATTACCCCTGGGAGCAGGTGGGGCGGGGGGGGGGGGGAGGGGAGGCTGGTGGGGTGAGGATTAGCAGGTATGGGACAGGAATCCGTGCCAAAGCTAGGTGGCCCTGGAGAGGGGCTGGTCTTCCAAGACCTCCAGCCACAGGCGCCCCAAACCAGCGGTCTTGAAGTGGGGTCCCTGGCCCAGCGGGATCAGCGTCGCTTGGGAACTTGTTCCAAGTGCACCCTCCCAGGCCCCACCTCAGACTCAGAAGCTGGAATCGTGGTTCAACAAGCCTTCCGGGGGAGTCCGACGCCGAATACAGCCTGAACACCAGGGGCTCCGACATTTCCGTGCGTTACATGGGCTCAGGGAACACCGTGGATGACTCACGGAGCAGAAGGCAGCTCGGGGAGCCCCAGGCCCGGCCGGCGAGGTGTCCTGTTCGGCAGCCCCATGCTCCTCCCACGGGCTCAAACAGGCAAGGTGGCGAGGCAAGAAAGAGCCACCCCCGCCAGTCCCTAGGAGGCCGTTTGCCTCAGCCTCCTCCTCCTCCCGAGGACCCTCTCCCCTGAGGCCACCTCACACAGCAGCCCGCAGGGCCTGGCACGCAGAGAAGGGGGCGTGGCCCAGAGGGCGTGAGCGGTGGGCGGGGGTTGACCAGATGGCCTATAGCCCGACGCCAGCCAGAGCCCTGACAGCAGCCCTGTCTCTCTGTCCTGAACTCCAGCTCAGTAACCCCGCCCTGTACTCGGCAGGGTGAGGCTGGGTTAAGCTGTAAGGCGTCACGACTTACTTTCTGGCTCTCACGGAGCCCAGAGCAAGTCGGGGACTCTGCAGGGTGTTTGTCTTCTGTGCGACATTTCAGCAAACCCAGTGACTTGGCCCTCGTGTGCTTTAGGCAGGGGTGTCTCACACCCATTCTCCCCAGGGGCCACATCAGCCTCGCGGTGGCCTTCGGAGGCCCGAATGTAATTTCAGGACTGTGTACATGTAACTACTGCTTAACAGTTAAGCAAGAGCTCAGCGCTGCCGCCGGGTAGAAACAAGGTGGAGGGCTGGGTTCGGCCCACGGGCCTTGTGTTTGCCGCCTGTGCTTTAGGGGCGGACGGACTGGAGGGACTTGCACAGGCTCCTAGATCCTTCCACCCAGGTCGCTGCCACTTGCCACCCACTGGCCTGCACGAGCCCTGTGACCCCGTGTGGCCACAAGGGGGCCGGGACATGTCGGGGTGCATGGACAGTTGCCGATCAATGGAAGTCTCTGCTGTCCACCTGGTGGACACTCCCCGCTGTGGTCCCCTCCGCCACCCCCACGGCATCACGAGTTCCGTCACCAAACCTCTGCAGGGGACGTCTCAGATCCAGGCACCGGGCGCAGCA